TTGTGAGATGATTTTCTTTTCTTTTCTTTTCTTTTAAATTTCATTCATTCTAACAGATGTCCCGGTTACTAACTCAAAAAGCTTAGCTCTCTAAGCTTTATTATAGCTCAGCGAGAGTAAAGTAAGAGAGGTAGAATACAACTGTGGATTTTATTTCCAGAAATAATTATTAAGTTAACTATGGTGTAGTAGAACTCTAGACACAACCTATTCTAATTCTCCTTTCTTATTTTTGTTATATTTTGGAGATAATGGAAAGATTACCTCAAACATTCCAAAATAATGCTACAGACTTGAACTTGGATATTATGTATTTAACCATATAAGGCACACAGGGGCCAGGCATGGTGGCTCACACCTGTAATCCCAGCACTGGGAGGCCAAGGTGGGTGGATCACCTGAGGTCAGGAGTTTGAGACCAGCCTGGCCAACATGGCGAAACCCATCTCTACCAAAAATACAAAATTACCTGGGTGTGGTGGTGCACATCTGTAATCCCACCTGCTCCAGAGGCTGAGGCTGGAGAATTGTTTGAACCTGGGAGGCAGAGGTTGCAGTGAGCCAAGCTTGAGCCACTACACTCTAGCCTGGGCAACAAAGCAAGACCCTGTCTCAAAAAAAAAAAAAAAATACAGAAAAAAGAAAAACATATAGGTACATAGGGATTCATGTACATTGAGCATTTAATATTGAATTGTATGATTGCACCGCCTATAATGTGCTGGGTGGTATACCGAACGATGGTGATACAGCGATGCATAAATCAGACAAAGTCTAGTCCTCAATAAGCTTACAGTCTAACTGGGAAGAAAAGAACACCTACAATAGACAGCAATCCAAACTGCGATGGGGAGTACAGGGAGCTATGGAAACACCAATGTCAGGGCATCTGACCAGCCTAGGAGAGGTTAGAGAAGGCTTTGTGGAGGAAGTGACCTCTAAGATATGACTAGCAAGAGTTGGTGAACTGCAGTCTATAGGCCAAATCCAACCTGCCATCTGCTTTGTTACAGCTCATGAGCTAAGAATGATTTTATGCATTTTTAAATGTTTGAAAAGATTCAAGAGAATAATGTTTTGTGATATGTGAAAATTGTATCATATTCAAATTTCAGTGTCTATAAATAACATTTCACTGGAATGTAGCCACACTCACAGCTGCTTTTGCACTATAGTGGCAAAGTCGAACAGTTGCAAGAAACTGTATGATTGCAAAACCCAGGGTATTTACTCTGTGGCCCTTTACAGAAAAAGTTTGCTGACCCCTGGCACAGGATGGGTAGGAGTTAGCCTAATAAAGCAGAGTGAGGAAGAGGGAAGTTGCTTTCTGATGGGGTCTTTTTATAGCTGTAGTAACCTTAATATACTTAGAGCGTGGCATCAAGGAGGTAGGGGCTGAAGGACTATGGTGAGTATTGAGGCTGGAGCAGTGGGCAGGATCCAGACTGGCAAGAGCCTTGGCAACCATATGTAGGGATTTGGGCTTATCCAGTATGAAGCCTTTAAAAGATTTAAAGTAATGTGATCCGATTTCCTTTTTATTTTTTATTTTTTTGAGATGGAGTCTCACTCTGTTGCCTGGGCTAGAGTACAATGGCGTGATCTCGGCTCACTGTAACCTATGCCTCCCAGGTTCAAACAATTCTCCCGCCTCAGCCTCCTGAGTAACGGGGATTACAGGTGCCCGCCACCACACCTGACTAATTTGTATATTTTTAGTAGAGATGTGGGTTTCACTATATTGGCCAGGCTGGTCTTGAACTCTTGACCTCATGATCTGCCCGCTCGGCTTCCCAAAGTTCTGGAATTAGGCCGGGCGCGGTGGCTTAAGCCTGTAATCCTAGCACTTTGGGAGGCCGAGGCGGGTGGATCACAAGGTCGAGAGATCGAGACCATCCTGGTCAACATGGTGAAACCCCGTCTCTACTAAAAATACAAAAAAATTAGCTGGGCATGGTGGCACGTGCCTGTGATCCCAGCTACTCAGGAGGCTGAGGCAGGAGAATTGCCTGAACCCAGGAGGCGGAGGTTGCGGTGAGCCGAGATCGCGCCATTGCACTCCAGCCTGGGTAACAAGAGCGAAACTCCATCTCAAAAAAAAAGTTCTGGAATTACAGGTGTGAGCCACCGCACACCCAGCCCTAATTTACTTTAAAAAAAAAAAAAAAATCCTCTGGCCACAGTGTAGAGATTGGGTTGGAGAGGGTGGGCTGAGAAAAGGGGCAGGGAAACTAGTTGAGATTTTGTAGTCATTCAGGGGAGAAATTGGTGACTTAGGCTAGCACAGTGACATTGGGGATAGGAATATATTGGTTTGAAAGGCATTTAGGAAGCAAAATTGAAAGAGTTTGGTGTCTTAGTTTAGCCTTAGTCTATAGGCTGTTATAACAAAATACCATAGAGTGGTAGTTTTTAAACAACAGAGATTTGGCTGGGCATGGTGGCTCACACCTGTAATCCCAACACTTTGAGAGGCTGAGGTGGGAGGATCACTTGAGCCCAAGAGTTCAAGACCAGCCTGGGAAACATAGCAAAACTCCAGATCTCAAAAACAAAACAAAACAAAACAAAACAAAAAGGTGGGCATGGTGGCATGTGCCTGTAATGCCAGCTACCCAAGAGGCCGAGGTGGGAGGATTGCATGAGCCCTGGAGGTCGAGGCTACGATGAGCCATGATCAGGCTACTGTACTCCAGCCTGGAGACCCTGTCTCAAAAAAAAAGGAAAAAGAAAAAGAATTAAAAAGAATACAGAGGCCGGGCGCGGTGGCTCAAGCCTGTAATCCCAGCACTTTGGGAGGCCGAGGCGGGTGGATCACGAGGTCGAGAGATCGAGACCATCCTGGTCAACATGGTGAAACCCCGTCTCTACTAAAAATACAAAAAATTAGCTGGGCATGGTGGCGCGTGCCTGTAGTCCCAGCTACTCAGGAGGCTGAGGCAGGAGAATTGCCTGAACCCAGGAGGCAGAGGTTGCGGTGAGCCGAGATCGCGCCATTGCACTCCAGCCTGGGTAACAAGAGCGAAACTCCGTCTCAAAAAAAAAAAAAGAATACAGAAAAAAAAAAACCCCACAAAACAAAAGCAGATATTTATTTTTCACAGTTTTAGAGGCTGAGAAGTCTAAGATCAAGGTGCTGGCAGGTTCAGTGTCTGGTGAGGGTCTGCTTTCTGGCTTAGTGGCAGCTGTCTTTTCACTGTGCTCTCACATAGCAAAAGGAGGAACTCTGGTCTCCTCAGCCCTTATAAGGGCACTAATCCTAATCATGAAAGCTCCACCCTTGTGACCTAAACACCTCACGTCTCACAAAGGCCACACCTCCTAGTACATTATCTTGGGGGTTAGGATTTCAACGTAAGACTTTGGGCAGGGGTATAAATATTCAGTCTATAGGATTTAGTGATTGGAGGCATTGAAGTGTGATTATTTTCATGTTTCAAATTATTGTGCTTTTTTTTTTTTTCAAAAGTTCGTTTTTCTGGTTCATGTGAATGCATGGTTAAGAAATCCATGTTTAGTAATAAATAGTCTTTAGAGCAAAATTCTTGAGTGATGTTTCATTCCTCCAGAGCTCCTTCCCATAACTTGGGTATTAAAATCACATCTCTCTGTGACCTCTTCATGTTGTTCCCTGTTTACAAGAGATCTGGCTTTTAAAGAGCAGAGAACCTATTGGCAGATTAATTTTCCTTTCCAGGTTTATCTTGGTTTAATGACTTTCCCAAAATATTTCTGGATTGGGCCCTTGGGCTCTTTGGTTTTCAAGACAATTTGTTAACAATGACAAGCGCTTCTCATTTTCTAGAGCACTTAGACTATTTCTGGTTTTAATCTCTGACCCTTGCCTTTCTCCTCTTTGGAGAGGAAGTCACTATATTATGTTTTATAATGTGTTGTGTAGCTTTTAAAGTGCCTATTCACATGTCAACTCAGTTGATCCTACAGTAAACCTGTAAAGAAGGCAGGACAGGTCAAATTATTGAGATTAAGAGAGGTTAGATGGCTTTTCCAAAGCCAGAAGGTCAATAAATAGTAAAGCAGGTGATTTGCCGGGTGCGGTGGCTCAAACCTGTAATCCCAGCACTTTGGGAGGCCGAGGCGGGTGGATCACGAGGTCAAGAGATGGAGACCATCCTGGTCAACATGGTGAAACCCCGTCTCTACTAAAATACAAAAAAAAATTAGCTTGGCATGGTGGTGTGTGCCTGTAATCCCAGCTACTCAGGAGGCTGAGGCAGGAGAATTGCCTGAACCCAGGAGGCGGAGGTTGCGGTGAGCCGAGATCGCGCCATTGCACTCCAGCCTGGGTAACAAGAGCGAAACTCCGTCGCAAAAAAAAAAAAAAAAAAAAAAAAAAAAAAAAAAAAAAAAAGTAAAGCAGGTGATATAAAACTTAGGTTTTTCAGATTTTGTAGTTTTATTCTTTCTATAATGTACCTTGTCTCCAAGAAAAGGGAGTTAGACTAGCTGTAATAGTTACATTTTCAGCAGTAAAGATGAAATGAAATACTTTTTTCTCCTTCTGCGTATGATCTGTGGGACTTTGTCCAGACGTCAGCATAGTCTTTTCCAAGCAATATGTGGACTACCAATAATTCCTAGACTACAATTTGTGAAGCTGTTGTCTGTATATTGAAGCATATATATGTATATTTTATTTTAATTAATTAATTAATTTTTGAGATGGAGTTTTGCCGTTGTTGCCCAGGCTGGAGTGCAATGGCGTGATCTCGGCTTACCATAACCTCCGCCTTCCAGGTACAAGCAATTTTCCTGCCTCAGCCTCCCAAGTAGTTGGGATTAGAGACTTGAGATACCACACCCAGCTAATTTTGCATTTTTAGTAGAGATGGAGTTTCTCCATGTTGGTCAGGCTGGTCTCAAACTCCTGACCTCAGGTGATCCATCCGCCTCGGCTTCCTAAAGTGCTGGGATTACAGGCATGAGTCACTATGCCCAGCCTATGTATGTATATTTTAATTCCTTCTCCTTCCCTTTAGGTGGTTCTAACTTTGATGGTTTGAGGCCAAATGGGAAGGGACTGCCTATGGACCAAAACTCCAGTGATCAAGATAAACCAGAAAGCTTGCCACCAAGGTAATGCAACTCTCCCTTCATTTGTCTCTTGTAGGACTGAGGTTCTCCTCATAGTACTGAGACCATTACTGGGCATAATGTAAGTCATTCCAGGGTGGCTAGCCTAGGAAATGTTCTTTTTATTTATTTATTTATTTATTTTAAGGTGGAGTCTCACCATGATGGCCAGGCTGGTCTTGAACTCCTGACCTCAGGTGATCCACCCACCTCGGCCTCCCAAAGTGCTAGGATTACAGGCGTGAGCCGCCGCGCCCGGCCGGGAATGTTCTTAATTATACCTAACATTTATTTGCACTTACTGCCAGGCACCCTGCTCTTATTTGGACTATCTTATTTTAGCCTAAGAGGTAAGTACTTTTTTCTGTTTTACAATTAAAGAAACTCAGATGATGAGAAATTATATAACTCAACTAAGGTCCCAGAATTAGCAAGTGGCCAACCTAGGATTTGAAACTGGCAGTCTAACCCTCCCTTGAAAATGTAGATTAGAAATGTTTGATTTCACTCTTTCATTCTTTTAGGCATTTCCTGACTCTGAAGTGGCTTTTTTTTTTTTTTTTTTTTTGAGACGGAGTTTCGCTCGTGTTACCCAGGCTGGAGTGCAATGGCGCGATCTCGGCTCACTGCAACCTCCGCCTCCTGGGCTCAGGCAATTCTCCTGCCTCAGCCTCCTGAGTAGCTGGGATTACAGGCACGCGCCACCACGCCCAGCTAGTTTTTTGTATTTTTAGTAGAGACGGGGTTTCACTATGTTGACCAGGATGGTCTCGATCTCTCGACCTCGTGATCCACCCGCCTCAGCCTCCCAAAGTGCTGGGATTACAGGCTTGAGCCACCGCGCCCGGCCTGAAGTGGCTTTTTTCCTTTTTTATTTATTTTTTCCCTACCCACACCTGAGGTGTGTTATAAAATATCTGAAGTCTGTACTCCAGTGCCCCCTACTGAATGTCTCCAGGATCTGTTTGGTGAAGATAAAACACTTGTGTCAGTATTTTAGTTATGACTATAAATACAGTATAACGCAAATAATAATGAAATGTAAATTTTTATTGGCTTCCTTTTATTTTGGATTATTCCTGTGGAATAGATGTACATAATAGAATGATCAAGTCAAAGGATCTAGAGGGTTCTATAGTTTTTTTTCTCTCTCTTTTTTTTTTTTTGAGACAGAGTCTCACTTTGTTACCCTGTCACTACAGCCTGTGCCTCCCAGGTTCAAGTGGTTCTCCTGCCTCAGCCTCTCGAGCACCTGGGATTATAGGCATGCACCACCACACCCGACTCATTTTTGTATTTTTGGTAGAGATGGGATTTCGCCATGTTGGCCAAGTTGGTCTTGAACTCTCAGCCTCAAGTGATCCACCTGCTTCGACCTCCCAAAGTGCTGGGATTACAGGCGTGAGCCATTGCACCCACCTGTCAATTCCATGTTCTAATCCCATATTCTGCTACCATATATGTGGGTGATGACACTGGGTTTCATTTTTCTCATTTGGAACTGAGGGAATTGGATTATCTTTAAGGTGCCCCTCTGGTCTGAAATTCTGTGACTCTATTATCAGGAAAGTCTCCAGACCAATATATTATATAATCAACAAAATATAAATTTACCTAATTCCACATAGAAATAGTGTTATTTTAGTAAATAAATTTTACTTTGGCCTCCTTTAGTCTTCTGTGACTTAGATGGGATCTTTTAGCTTTTCATTCTTTCATTTTGCCATGGGGACTCATCCACATATGAAAAAAATATTTTTATTTTTCCAGACAGAATAAATCCAAGTCCCAAATTACTGACATGGTTCGGTCCTCCACTATCACAGTCTCAGACAAGGCTCATATTTTATCCATGCAGAAGTTTGGACTGCGAGATACAATTGTGAAATCACATCTACTACAGAAAGAAGAAGATTATACCTACGTCCAGAACTTCAGGTAGCTAACTGCTGGGTCTTAGGATGTTTTCAGAACAGAATGATTTATTTATTTATTTATTTATTTATTTATTTATTTATTTATTTATTTGAGATGGAGTCTTGCTCTGTTGCCCAGGCTGAAGTGCAGTGGCACAATCTCTGCTCACTGCAACCTCTGCCTTCAGGGTTCAAGTGACTTCTCTGCCTCAGCCTCCCGAGTAGTTGGGATTACAGGCATGCACCACCATGCCTGGCTGATTTTTGTATTTTTAGCAGAGATGATATTTCGCCAGTTGGCCAGGCTGGTCTCAACCTCCTGACCTCAGGTGATCTACCCGCCTCAGCCTCCCAAAGTGCTGGGATTACAGGCATGAGCCACCATGCCTTGCCCCAGAATGATCATTTGGCTCTCTGGAATTTGAGCACTTCCTCCTATACCCGGATTTGGAGTTATGCTCTTGTATAGAATCTCTCCCCTCATTTTTGAAATGAGTGATTTTATGCACTGTTTACTAACAGGCATTTATTCTGTGCTCTTTCTAGGTGGGCACTGTGGTATAGTGAGAATGACACAACTTGCAGATAGTTACAACTTGCAGTTAGTTACAGAAATATTTGCAGAGACAAATTGGTACAGAAGAAGGAGCACCATCATGATTCTTCCTTTTTTTTTTTTTTTTAACGTTTTATCTTTTTGAGACAAGGTCTCGCTTTGTTTCCCAGGATGGAGTGCAGTGACTCAATCACAGCTCACTGCAGCCTCAACCTCCCAGGCTCAAGTAACCCTTACACCTCAGCTGCTGGAGTAGCTGGTAATACACATGGGTATACCACTATGCCTAGCTAATTTTTTTTTTTTTTTTGAGACGGAGTTTCGCTCTTGTTACCCAGGCTGGAGTGCAATGGCTCAATCTCGGCTCACCGCAACCTCCGCCTCCTGGGTTCAAGCAATTCTCCTGCCTCAGCCTCCTGAGTAGCTGGGATTACAGGCACGCACCACCATGCCCAGCTGATTTTTTTGTATTTTTTAGTAGAGACGGGGTTTCACCATGTTGACCAGGTTGGTCTCGATTTCTTGACCTCGTGATCCACCCGCCTTGGCCTCCCAAAGTACTGGGATTACAGGCTTGAGCCACTGCGCCCTGCCCAGCCTAGCTAATTTTTTAAGTTTTTTTTTTTTTTTTTTTTTTTTTTGTTGTTGTTGTTGTTGTTGTTTTTTGAGACGGAGTTTTGCTCTTGTTACCCAGGCTGGAGTGTGCAATGGTGCGATCTCGGTTCACCACAACCTCCTCCTCCTGGGTTCAGGCAATTCTCCTGCCTCAGCCTCCTGAGTAGCTGGGATTACAGGCACACGCCACCATGCCCAGCTAATTTTTTGTATTTTTAGTAGAGACGGGGTTTCACCATGTTGACCAGGATGGCCTCGATCTCTTGACCTCGTGATCCACCCGCCTCGGCCTCCCAAAGTGCTGGGATTACAGGCTTGAGCCACCGTGCCCGGCCATATTTTTTAAGTTTTGTAGAGACAGTGTCTCACTATGTTGCCCATGCAGATCTCAAGCTCCTGGGCTCGAGCAGTCCTCCTGCCTTGGCCTCCCAAAATGTTGAGATTATAAGTGTGAGCCACCACGCCCAGCCCAGTGATTCTTATGTATCCCTCCAAGGTTCTGTATCCCTTTGTCATTCTGGGCCTTTGAAGAAAGTCATTTAGAGTGAAATTAGTAAAACGAAGTTAGCTGGTGTTTGGCAATCTTTTTAGGCAAGATTACTAAAAGCTAAATGAATAAAGGTTGTGGGATTCTGCTAGATCTTTCAGAATCATTGCATTGGACTATAGATAAAATAACATTGTTTCTAGCGATATAAACTGTGAATTATGGTGAAGAAGTAGCCTTTTGAACACTGTTGTTGCTTTCTTGCCAAAAGTAATTACCAAAGCACTTTTCAGTTTTTCATTTCATTAGTATATACAAGGCAAAGAATTATGCAGATAATGGCTGGATAATGGCCATTTAAAGAAAGTAGGAATGTTCAGAATAGGCCTATACTGTTGAAATTGTTCTCACAAAAGCAGCAGATACCATAACAGACCACAAGTCACCCCTTGGTGCTTCAGTCCTGATCTAGAAATGATATTTATATATATATATTTTTTTGAGACGGAGTTTTGCTCTTGTTACCCAGGCTGGAGTGCAATGGTACGATCTCGGCTCACCGCAACCTCCGCCTCCTGGGTTCAGGCAATTCTCCTGCCTCAACCTCCTGAGTAGCTGGGATTACAGGCATGTGCCACTATGCCCAGCTAATTTTTTGTATTTTTAGTAGAGACGGGGTTTCACTATGTTGACCAGGATGGTCTCGATCTCTTGACCTCGTGATCCACCCGCCTCAGCCTCCCAAAGTGCTGGGATTACAGGCGTGAGCCACCACGCCCAGCTTAGAAATGATATTTTTTATGTCTTAAAATGCTGCTCCACAGAGACTAAAACCAGCATAAATCAGCATAAAATGCTTTCTCCTGTAATCTCCATAGTGATTTGCAGTCACTACTTCTTTCTCTTTGGTGACAGGTTTTTTGTGGGAACATACAATGTAAATGGACAGTCCCCCAAAGAATGCCTCCGGCCCTGGCTGAGCGAAGGTATCGAGGCCCCAGATGTCTATTGTGTAGGGTGAGTGCTTCTCTTCTCTTCTTGTCTCCATCTTCAAGCACGCAGAACTGAGGTTGAGGATGGGTCTTCACAGCAGGTGAAGGATTTGAAAAATGAACAGGTGCTTAGAACAGCTGCTTCCCTGTTTGATGTTCTTCCTCATGGCAAGCAAATGCCTGCCACTGTTAAAGTGAAGTGCTTGGCATTTAAATGCTAATACTTAATTTTTAGTGTAATCTTCTGTTAAAACACTGAATTGCATCCTGAACTCAGTGCATCCTGAATTGAACTTTATTGCTTAGACGTTCAATCCTTTTTTGGTTACAAAGCAAAAATGTCTTTTGCCAGAGAAGGGAGGTTACCTGAAGAAAGTTCCATTAGTTGGCCGGGCGCGGTGGCTCAAGCCTGTAATCCCAGCACTTTGGGAGGCCGAGGCGGATGGATCACGAGGTCGAGAGATCGAGACCATCCCGGTCAACATAGTGAAACCCCGTCTCTACTAAAAATACAAAAAATCAGCTGGGCATGGTGGCACGTGCCTGTAATCCCAGCTATTCGGGAGGCTGAGGCAGGAGAATTGCCTGAACCCAGGAGGCGGAGGTTGCGGTGAGCCGAGATCGCGCCATTGCACTCCAGCCTGGGTAACAAGAGCGAAACTCTGTCTCAAAAAAAAAAAAAAAAAAAAAAAGAAAGTTCCATTAGTTAGTCTTTTTTTTTTTTTAACCTTCTCATTACTATACTGGGCCTTACTGGTGGGGAGGGGCAGCAAAGCTTGTGTAGTATATTGAAAAGAACGAGAATTTAGAATTTATATAGACCTAGGTTTGAGTCCTAGTTTGCCACTTGGTGCTTGTGTGAACTAGGGGCTACAGATATCAAATAGTGACACTTCGAACTATTTCTTAGGCTGGTCATGAAAAGGAATGGGGTTTTGTTTGCAAAAGCACCTGGAAAGTTCCTTGGCATTTAGTTCCTTGGCTCTAAGTGTTTGTTTAAATTTTTTCCTCCTGAGAGTCCTGAAGTTTAGCTAGAAAGCTAGGGCTTATGCACCTAAACCAATCCGAGAATGTGTCATTTGCACATTACTTTTCTTTACTCTCTAACTGGCTGCTTCTCCAAATAGGTTCCAGGAGCTTGATCTGAGTAAGGAAGCTTTTTTCTTTCATGATACCCCAAAGGAGGAAGAGTGGTTTAAAGCTGTGTCAGAGGGTCTTCATCCAGATGCCAAATATGCAAAGGTAAGAGAGGAGTCAGGGACCTTTTCATTTATGTTGCCATGCAGGGAAATTCCAGGATCATTTTTCACCTTTTCTATGACCTTTATCTTTTTTCTTTTTTTGAGACGGAGTCTTGCTCTGTCGCCAGGCTGGAGTGCAGTAGTGGGATCTCTCGGCTCATTGCAACTTCCGCCTCCTGGGTTCAAGCGATTCCCCTGCCTTAGCCTCCCAAGCAGCTGGGATTACATGTGCACGTCACCATGCATGGCTAACTTTTTGTATTTTAGTAGAGACAGGGTTTCACCACGTTGGCCAGGACGGTCTCGATCCTCTGACCTCGTGATCCACCCTCCTCAGCCTCCCAAAATCCTGGGATTACAGGTGTGAACCACCGTGCCCAGCCCATGACCTTTATCTTAAGCCAATCTTAATTATCCCGCAATTTTCATTTCCAGATCTTCCAGAAGGGGTGTCTCTGGGTGGGACAGATGCAGGGCATTGGCACTCGTAGGTTAGCATGTAGCATGCTTGGTGAGTTGAACAGATGATTACCTGTGTTCTAGCGTGGAGAAGGAGAGGTGTTAATACTCTCAGCCAGCTTCCAGACCACTTTTCCTTTGGGGTATTTATTCCTGTTTGCAACTTCTTTTTTTTTTTTTTTTTTTGAGACGGAGTTTCGCTCTTGTTACCCAGGCTGGAGTGCAATGGCGCGATCTCGGCTCACTGCAACCTCCGCCTCCTGGGTTCAAGCAATTCTCCTGCCTCAGCCTCCTGAGTAGCTGGGATTACAGGCACGCGCCACCATGCCCAGCTAATTTTTTGTATTTTTAGTAGAGATGGCGTTTCACCATGCTGACCAGGATGGTCTCGATCTCTTGACCTCGTGATCCACCTGCCTCAGCCTCCCAAAGTTCTGGGATTACAGGCGTAAGCCACCGCGCCCGGCCCTGCAACTTCTATTTAATGCCATGTCTCTCATTTCCAGGTGAAGCTCATCCGACTGGTTGGGATTATGCTGCTGTTATATGTCAAACAGGAGCATGCAGCATATATCTCAGAAGTGGAAGCTGAGACTGTGGGGACAGGAATCATGGGCAGGATGGTGAGTCCTTGATTGATATGTTTGGCACATTGAGGACCTTAACTCCTGAGGTATTGACTGCTTCTGATGACACAGTGACTACACATGTCCCAGTTTGAAGGTGCCAGTATTCCAAGATGAATCATATGCTCAAGCAGGACTCAGTCGAGCAAACTATTTAGAAACTGCATTTTAGTGAACTGCCTGCTGATTTAACCAACTAGTGCCTATCCTTGTATTTGCCAACACTCGAGCCTCCAGTTGATCCTCCCATTTCACCCATGAAGTATGTTGCAGAAACTATGGTGGGTCATCCAGGAAAACAAAGAATGCTGATAGTAGGTTTGCAGTTTCCTCTTCTTCTTGAGGCCATTAAGGTTCTGTTTTTAGGTTCTTCTGTAAGAGCTTAGCTTTGTGTGGCAGAGGGCACATATGGTTTGCCTGTGATTTAGTGTAAAGAACACTGGATTGAGGGAGCTAAGTTTTGGAGCTGGCGCGATGGCTCACAACTGTAATCCCAGCACTTTGGGAGGCCGAGGTGGGTGGATCACTTGGGGTCAGGAGTTCGAGAGAGCTAGGTTTTGGACTCAGCTTTGCCACTGACTGGCTAGTCATTCTGCCTTCTTGTTTTGTTTTTTTTTAATTTGTAAAATATAGATAATAAGCTCACAGGATTATTATAAAGATTAAGACAAAACATTGTGAAAGTCTGTAGGTTTAAATGACTGACACAGTTAAGTTTGAATTGGATTTCTTTGGGGATCTTTTCCACAGGGCAACAAGGGAGGCGTGGCGATCAGGTTCCAGTTCCACAACACCAGCATCTGTGTTGTGAATTCTCACTTGGCAGCACACACTGAAGAGAATGCAAGGAGGAACCAGGACTATAAGGACATTTGTTCTCGAATGCAGTTTTATCAGCTTGACCCAAGCCTTCCCCCTCTCACCATCAGCAAGCACGAGTGAGTCTGGGCTTCCACCCCCATACCATTTATCATGAATGCATAGAGTTCTGGGCTCTGGCTTTTGATGGGGAGATGCCTGGTGGTGGTTTACCGTTGCTGCAATGGTGGCAAGTGCCACCTCTTGGTTATACATGGATTATATCTCTTGAAAATTTTTACTTTCCTAACTTAGCATCTGGCAGATCTCTAGAGCCTTTCTCTTTTTTTATTTTTAAATTGTTATTTGCATGTCATCCTTGCTCAGGGGCCATGCTAATCATCTTTGTATCTTTCAATTTTAGTATATGTGCTGCAGAAGCAAGCACACTCCAGCGTCTTTCTCAAGCATTATGTGTCCTTGGGAAAGTATAAGGTTTATTTATTTACTTTTTTTATTTTGAGATGGAGTCTTGCTCTGTCACTAGGCTGGAGTGCAGTGGTGCTATCTTGCCTCATTGTAACCTCCACCTCCTGGGTTCAAGTGATTCTCCTGCATTAGCCTCCCAAGTGGCTGGGACTACAGGTGCGTGCCACCATGCTGGGCTAATTTTTGTATTTTTCTTTTCTTTTTTTTTTTTTTTTTTTGAGACGGAGTTTCGCTCTTGTTACCCAGGCTGGAGTGCAATGGCGCGACCTCAGCTCACCGCAACCTCCGCCTCCTGGGTTCAAGCAATTCTCCTGACTCAGCCTCCTAAGTAGCTGGGATTACAGGCACGTGCCACCATGCCCAGCTAATTTTTTGTATTTTTAGCAGAGACGGGGTTTCACCATGTTGACCAGGACGGTCTCGATCTCTCGACCTCATGATCCACCCGCCTCGGCCTCCCAAAGTGCTGGGATTACAGGCTTGAGCCACCGCGCCCGGCCCAATTTTTGTATTTTTCATAGAGACGAGGTTTCACCATGTTGGCCAGGCTGATCTCGAACTCCTGACCTCAGGTGATCCATCTGCCTCGTCCTCCCAAAGTACTAGGATTACAGGCATGAGCCACTGCATCTGGCCAAGGTTTATTTTTTCAATATTTGATTTATCAACATGTATGAGAGTCCTTGGCTGCTGTAGTATAGCAGCTAGAAGTAGTTAAGAAGAAAGTGAGGCTGGGTGCAGTGTGGTTCGTGTGTGTTATCCCAGGACTTTAGGAGGCTGAGCAGGGGGATTGCTAGGGCCCAGGAGTTCAAGAATAGCCTGGGTAACATAGTGTCTCTGCAAAAAATTTGAAAAATCAGCTGGTGTGTTGCTGCATGTCTGTAATCCCAGCTATTCAGGAAGCTGAGGCAGGAAGATAACAGAAAGGGAAGGGAAGAGAAAGGCAAGGAGAGGAGAAAGGAAAAACGAAAGGAAGGAAAGGAGAGGGAAAAGTTTATTTTGAGCAGGGAATATGACAAAACGTCAGTTCACAGTTATATTGTAGTCTGAGTTCTGCTTAAGATTTATCTTTTGGCCGGGCACGGTGGCTCAAGCCTGTAATCCCAGCACTTTGGGAGGCCGAGGCGGGTGGATCACGAGGTCAAGAGATCAAGACCATCCTGCTCAACATGGTGAAACCCCGTCTCTACTAAAAATACAAAAAATCAGCTGGGCATGGTGGCGCATGCCTGTAATCCCAGCTACTCAGGAGGCTGAGGCAGGAGAATTGCCTGAACCCAGGAGGCGGAGGTTGCGGTGAGCCGAGATCGTGTCATTGCACTCCAGCCTGGGTAACAAGAGCGAAACTCTATCTCAAAAAAAAAAAAAAAGATTTATCTTTTTTCTTTTTTTTAAGATTTATTTTAATTTTGGTCTGTCTACATCCAACATTATGAAGAAAACCAAAGAATGAGCATATCAAACCCAGTTTTTAGAAGTATGTTTTAGGATTTTATATATCTACTTTTTTTTTTTTTTTTTTTTGAGGTGGAGTTTTGCTCTTGTTGCCCAGGCTGGAGTGCAGTGGCACGATCTTGGCTCACTGCATCCTCTGCCTCCCGGGTCCAAGCAATTCTCCTGCCTCAGCCTCCTGAATAGCTGGGACTACAGGTGCACACCACCACACCTGGCTAATTTTTGTATTTTTATTAGAGACAGGATTTCACCACGTTAGCCAGGCTGGTCTCGAACTTCTGACCTCAGGAGATCCACCCGCCTTAGCTTCCCAAAGTGCTGGGATTACAGGTACCTAGGTTCCAGGGAACCTAGCAGGGAGTGTCTTGCAGCTGAACTCTTCTATTCTGGTGAACCTGCAGCATCCTAGTTTGTGAGGTCACAGCTTATGTGTCAGTTTGCCTGCTTTTAGTTTGTGGATGCATTAATTTTGGTGTGTGTGTACTGCCGTGAAGATTCTCTAATGACATGGTTGTTGGCTTCAGATACAGCAGTATTAGACTTAATGAGATGTACATTGTCATCAGGGAGCCTTCAGTTAGCTTCTTCCCAAAGCAGCAGGAGGAATAAAACACCTTCTACACTCTACCCAACAGCACAGAAAGAGCCAACCAATGATATGGTAGGGATTAAATCCAGGCTCCACTATAAAGTTTGAACTTTGTTTTCTTTTTTTTTTAAGAGACAGGGTTTCACTATCTTGGCCAGGCCGGTCTTGAACTTCTGACCCTGTGATCCACCTGCCTCGGCCTCCCAAAGTGCTGGGATTACAGGTGTGAGCCACCAGACCCGGCCTTGAACTTTGTTTCAGAGGAACTCTGCTTTAGAAACAAAGGCTGAAAGTGTGTTTTGTGGACTGCAGTATACACAGAGGCAGAGGTGGCATTGTGGCATCATCTGGTTTGGGGTCCCTGGGTGATTGTCATGACTCTCAATTTTTGATCTTTTTTCCTTCTTCCCAAGAATGGGGTAAATTACTATTTTTCAGATCTTATCAGACTGTCTTTCCAACCTACAGAAATAAAATAGTTAGGGAGAACACAAGGCTATTATAAGGAGCTTAGACCAAGATACAATTATCACAAGCAAGCATCACATTAGAGTATTAAATGGGATGGCAAGAGAAAAAAAATTCCTGAACAGTTGAGCCATTTCCCCACTCACCTCCCAAGAGGCTGAGCCTCATGGGCCTTTCATCAGAAGCACCCTGGGTAGGTTGGGTTAAAGTTCCTCCTAAACCCTGTTACCTTTGTGCTCTGCCCTCACAGTGTGATCTTGTGGCTGGGGGACCTCAACTACAGGATAGAAAACATGGATGTGGAAAAAGTGAAAAAGCTCATTGAAGAGAAGGACTTTCAAACCCTGTATGAATATGATCAGGTACAGATGGCCACCTGTGCCCTCTTCCAGCAGCTGTCCTCCACTGTGAGGGCATGGAAAAGCCTGGCTTCCAAACTCACAGCCTCTTATTCTTTGGCTTGAGAGGTTTCTCTGAGTTCCTGATGTTGTTCAGTCATTTCTTCATTTCATCTGCATTCCCTTTTCCATAATTGTCTCCCCATTGTTTCTTTCCTGAAGCACATTTTCTCCTTTGGAAGCAAGAGTGTGTTCTCTCTCTCTCTTTCTCATTCATTCATTCAAGAAGTCTGAAGTTGGAGCTAAAAGAGTACCAACTTTCTATAAAGAAAGGAATTGTTATATTTAAGATGATGAAATAATTGTTTTAGTATGAGCCTTCTTCCCCCCTGTACTTCTCCTCACCAGAGTTCTCCATTGTGAGTGACAGCTCTTCCTACGTGGCTTTCCTCACTTCCTACAGGAATCAGTAACCTGCTGTTCTCCATCGTTGCTTGACGGAGCATTTCCCTCTCAGAGCACTCGCTGTTTCACAGTACAAAAGAATCTGTTCCTCTGTGACTTTCTTCTGGCTACTCCTCTCAGTAGATTTCAGACTTGTTTAGGTGGTCAGGTTGTTTAGAATGCTAAACATTATTTTTTATTGTTGTTGTTCTATATCCTCCCTTTTAATAACTTTAGTATTGTCATTAATCTGAATATTTCTATTATAATTTTTTCTCCAGTGCAGATTAACTAAAGAGAAGAAATCTCAACTTATTTATGTCTGTCTATTTTTTTTATCTCCTCTGTGTTCTGGTCTGAGGCATTCTAACTTCCCTGGTAGTTTAATACCCATCTCTACTTGCCTTCTTTTCTGGTCTTTCCTAAAGGAATAGTACCCATTTTGTGTGTTATCTGCCTACTACATGGTTTTAAGGTCTGTACATTCATACCTAGCTCACATTCATACCTACATTTTAACTATTTTCTGTTGCTTTTGAATAGGAATTTGGCAAGTGGTATCTACTCAATAGCTGACCATGTGCAATGTTAGAGGTGACAGTTCTTCACCAGTCCATGCAGTGCCACGCTTGGTGCTTCAGGGAAGAGGAAAGAGTACCTGTGTTTTGTTTTGTTTTGTGAGACAGAGTCTTCCTCTATTGCTCAGGCTGGAGTGCAGTGGCGCAATCTCGGCTTACTACAACCCCCACCTTCTTGGTTCAAGCAATTTTCCTGCCTCAGCTTCCTGAATAGTGGGGACTACAGGTGTGTGCAACCATGCCAGACCAGGCTAGTTTTTTTTGTATTTTTACTAGAGATGGGGTTCTCCATATTGGCCAGGCTTGTCTCGAACTCCTGACCTCATGATCCACCCACCTCGGCCTCCCAAAGAGCTGGCATTACAGGCATGAGCCACTGTGCCGGCCAGCACCTGTAGTTTCTATGTTGCTGAGAGTGTGATCTGGAAGGCACTCCTAAAATTCATAGGAATGATGCTAACTGTTATCATAGTGTGTCAGGCACTGTTTAAGTTGACAGAAAATCTTTCTAACAACCCTATGAGGTAGATTCTGTTAAAAATCCAAAATTTGCAGCTGCAGCAACCAAAGCACAGAGCTTTCCCCAGTTCACGTAACTAATTTGACAACACAGTTCTATCTTTGTGTGTATTTAGAGCATCTATGCTACACAGATGAAGTGTTTGTATACCTGGCAGAGAAAAACTATTAGTTTGTTAAGTGTAAGTGATACCTAATCCTCTTAAAGATATCTCAATAAGATGATAATCAGGCCCTTTGGGTAAGCTTTGCTCTTACGAAGGAGCCTTAGCCAGGCATGATGGCTTACACATGCAATCCCATCACTTTGGGAGGCCAAGGCAGGAGGATCACTTGAGGCCAAAAGTTTCAGACAAGCCTAGGCAGCCTAGTGAGACCCTGTCTCTAAAAAGTTTTTAAAAGTAGCTGTGTGGTGGTGTACACCTGCAGTCCCAGCTACTTGGAAGGCTGAGGTGGGAGGATTACTGGATCCCAGGAGATGGTGGCTGTAGTGAGCTATGGTCACTCCATGGCACTCCAGCCTGGGTGACAGAGTAAGATCCTGTCTTTAAAAAATAAAAAACATTAAAAACAACTAAAAAATAAAAACTATATACAGAAAAGAAATGGTCAGCTTGTTCACTTTCCTAGGAGTTAGCTAACTTAAGGTATTATAGAAGCTGGGCATGGTGGCTCATGCCTGTAATCCCTGCACTTTGAGAGGCCAAGGCAGGAGAATTGCATGAACCTGGGAGGCGGAGGTTGCAGTGAGCTGAGATCACACCACTGCACTCCAGCCTGGGCAACAAGAGCAAAACTCTGTCTCAAAAAAAAAAAAAAAATCTTATAGAGTAACTTTTTTGGGGGTCTTTTTCCTTAGAGTTTGAATTCTAGACTGATATCCTTTTCTCCACTAATTCAAAGTTTGACCTTTTTATTGTGAGATTTGTTTTTTCTCCCATCATTTTGTATAGCTGAAAATTCAGGTGGACAAAAAGACTGTCTTTGAAGGCTTCACAGAGGGTGAGCTGACATTCCAGCCTACTTACAAATACGATACGGGCTCTGACGACTGGGATACCAGGTAGGTCAGAGGTTTCTTCAAATGATTGAGCAAATGGAAACCCAGAAATTCTGGGAAGCACTTCTCTTTTGGACCTAAGGAAGAATATATGCTTCCTGTGACTTTTCCCCCATGTTTTGCACTCTGGTTAAACATTTCGTCTCAGTATTTGCTCATTAAGCAGCCTGCTTTCCCATGTATTTACTTTGTGACTGCCTTTGCCTTTGTTCCATAATAATTTTTTTTTTTTTTTTTTTTTTTTTTTGGAGACGGAGTTTCGCTCTTGTTACCCAGGCTGGAGTGCAATGGCGCGATCTCGGCTCACTGCAACCTCCGCCTCCTGGGTTCAAGCAATTCTCCTGCCTCAGCCTCCTGAGTAGCTGGGATTACAGGCACACACCACCATGCCCAGCTAATTTTTTGTATTTTTAGTAGAGACGGGGTTTCACCTTGTTGACCAGGAGGTCTCGATCTCTCGACCTCGTGATCCACCCGCCTCGGCCTCCCAAAGTGCTGGGATTACAGGCTTGAGCCACCGCGCCCGGCCCCATAATAATTTTTAATACTGATTTACTTTTCAGCTGTGCCTAGGATGAGATGATTCCAACTAACTTAGCTGGTACTTGGTCATTACATAGTAGTTAATATTTTTGTTTGTTTGTTTTGAGACAGTCTTGTTCTGTTGCCCAGGCTGGAGTGCAGTGGCTGGATCTTGGCTCACTGCAACCTCCGCCTCCGGAGTTCAAGCGATTCTCCTGCCTCATCCTCCTGAGTAGCTGGGATTACAGGTGTGTGCCACCACGCCCAGCTAATTTTTGTATTTTTGTAGAGACAGGGTTTCGCCATATTGGCCAAGCTGGTCTCGAACGCCTGGCCTCAAGTGATCGGTCTGCCTCAGCCTCCCAAAGTCAGTAGTTAATATTTTTTATTACTGCTTACCATGTGCCATGTACTTTTGATGTACTTGTTATTTTCTTATTTAATCCTCAGGACTCTGTCGAAGTAGGTATGATTTACCTCATTTTATGAGATTGGAAACTGAAGCATAGAAAAATTAAAGAGGCCCCAGGTAGACAAGGGATACAGGGAGGATTTGAACCCAGGCAGTGGGAAATTCAGAGCCTGTCTCTTAACCAGCATCTCTTTTTTTTTTTTGAGACGGAGTCTCACTTTGTTGCCAGGCTAGAGTACAGTGGTGTAATTTTGGTTCACTGCAACCTCTGCCTCCTGGGTTCAAGTGATTCTCCTGCCTCAGCCTCCTGAATAACTGGGACTACAGGTGCATACCACCACATGAGCTAATTTTTGTATTTTTAATAGAGACGGGGATTCACCATGTTGGCCAGGATGGTCTCAGTCTCTTGACCTTGTGATCCACCTGCCTTGGCCTCCCAAAATGCTGGGATTTCAGGGGTGAGTGACTGCACCTGGCCTTAACCAGCATCTTTTAAAGACCATAGGGTGGCCGGGTGGGGTGGCTCACACCTGTAATCCCAGCACTTTGGGAGGCGGAGGCAGACAGATCATTAGGTCAGGAGATCAAGATCATCCTGGCCATGGTGAAACCCCATCTCTACTAAAATACAAAAAATTAGCCAGGCATGGTGGCACGTACCTATAGTCCTAGCTACTCAGGAGGCTAAGGCAGGGGAATCACTTGAACCTGGAAGACAGAGGTTGTAGAGAACCGAGATTGTGCCACTGTACTCCAACCTGGCTAAAGATCAAGACTCGGTCTAAAAAAAAAAAGACCATAGAGTGCTTACTGTTAGATTGGTTTTTTAATTCTCTCCTAATTCTCATAGGAGGGTAAAGAGCAGAGAATCAGTCTGAACTCTGTTTTGACTTTGAGCTTTCATAGTTGTTTTGGATGATACCCACAGGATGTATGTTATCCCTTGGTGGGCCCAAATTGCTCTTGCTTCCTCAGATGACTTAGCCAGGTGGACATGAAGGCCCTGATTTATCACTCTGCCTGAGCCAGGACACTTGCCAGGCAGTGGGCACTGCTGTTTCTGTGAATACTTCCAGGGTGGACTTTGCATTTCAGTGAGAAGTGCCGTGCTCCTGCCTGGTGTGACCGGATCCTCTGGAAGGGGAAGAACATCACTCAGCTGAGTTACCAGAGCCACATGGCCCTGAAGACCAGTGACCACAAGCCTGTCCACTCACTGTTTGACATCGGGGTAGGTGGGCAGCTGGTGCCCGTTGTAACCATTCTGGAGGGAATTGGCTTTCACAACTAAGACCATTTCTTCTCTTTCTGGTTTCTTCCTCTCCTTTTGAGTGGGAGGAAGCCCCTTTTAGAACAATTTAGAACAATTATTAGCAACTTAGTTAATAATTATTTTAGTATGCCTCTGTGTTTTTCCTCATACATGGAAGTTCCCTTTTCTATTTTTGAACTGTCTTTTTGCAGACCTTTCTCTATGTGTTTATAAATGGATGTATCAGTATTCTATATATAACATTGAGGGTATTTTTCCTTTTTTGTAAAAGGATCATATTATACATATTGCTCTAAGGACATCTTTTTTTCCCCGACTGAATATGTCTTAGGAGATCTTTCCGTGACAGTGAAGGTAGAGCTTTCTTCTCATTATTTGTAAAGGTTCCAAAGTATTCCATGGTCTGGATGTGCCTTAACATACGCATTGATAAAGTTATTTCCAAAGTTTTGCTATTACACACAGTGCTGTTGTGACCACCCTTCACATGTATCTTTGTGTATCGGTATATTTCTATAGAATGAAATTAGTGGTTCAAAGAAAAAATGTATTTTAAATTTATTAGATCTTGCTAAATTATCCTTACAACAGTTTTACCACTTTACACTTCTACCAACCATATAAGAGTTTGTTTTCCCATACCCTTGCCGATACTGGGTTTTATCAGTCTTTTACATTTTTGTCAACCCAATAAACAAAGGGAAAAAAAAGATACTTTATTATTTTTTTTTCTTTTAAGCCAAAGGATTTTGTACAAGTTCAAAAAGGTACTTTATTATGTTAGATTACATTTCCCTGATTACCTATGAGTCAGCATCTTTTTCTTCCTTTCCCTTTCCTTTTTTTTTTTTTTTTTTTTTGAGACGGAGTTTCGCTCTTGTTTCCCAGGCTGGAGTGCAATGGCGCGATCTCGGCTCACCGCAACCTCCGCCTCCCGGGCTCAGGCAATTCTTCTGCCTCAGCCTCCTAAGTAGCTGGGATTACAGGCACGCGCCACCACGCCCAGCTAGTTTTTTTGTATTTTTAGTAGAGATGGGGTTTCACCATGTTGACCAGGATGGTCTCAATCTCTCGACCTCGTGATCCACCCACCTCGGCCTCCCAAAGTGCTGGGATTACAGGCTTGAGCCACCGTGCCCGGCTTTTTTTTTTTTAATTTTAATTTTTATTTATTTATTTATTTATTTATTTATTTATTTTTGAGACGGAGTTTCGCTCTTGTTACCCAGGCTGGAGTGCAATGGCACGATCTCGGCTCACCGCAACCTCCGCCTCCTGGGCTCAGGCAATTCTCCTGCCTCAGCCTCCTAAGTAGCTGGGATTACAGGCACACACTACCACGCCCAGCTAGTTTTTTGTATTTTTAGTAGAGACGGGTTTCACCATGTTGACCAGGATGGTCTCGATCTCCCGACCTCGTGATCCACCCGCCTCAGCCTCCCAAAGTGCTGGGATTACAGGCTTGGGCCGCCATGCCTGGCTAATTTTTATTTTAAGACAGGGTCTTGTTCTGTCACCCAGGCTGGAGTGCAGTGGTGCTGTGGCACAATCACAAAGCACTGCAGCCTCGATCTGCTGGGCTTAAGCAGTGCTCCCACATCAGCCTCCTGAGTAGCTAGGACTATAGGCATGTATCACCTTACCTGGATTTTTTCTTCTTTAGAGACAGTATCTTGCTATCTTGCCCAGACTGGTCTCAGGCGACTCCTGGGCTCAGGTAATCCTTCTGCCTTGGCCACCCCAAGTTCTGGGATTATAGGATGAGCCATCACACCTGGCCTTTTCATTTCTTTATTATCTATTTACAGTGGCTCTTTATTATCTTTTTTTTTTTCTTGAGGCAGAGTCTCACTCTGTTGCCCAGGCTGGAGTACAGTGGCACGATCTCAGCTCACTGCAATCTCTGCCTCCCAGGTTCAAGCAATTCTCCTGCCTTAGCTTCCTGAGTAGCTGGCATTACAAGCTTATGCCATCATGCCCGGCTAATTTTTATATTTTTAGTAGAGACGGGGAGTCTTATGCCACCATGCCTGGCTAATTTTTGTATTTTTAGTAGAGACGGGGTTTCACCATGTTGGTCAGGCTGGTCTGGAACTCCTGATCTCGTGATCCGCCCACCTCAGCCTCCCAAAGTGCTGGGATATCAGGCATGAGCCACCACGCCCAGCCCAGCTCTTTATTATATATTACAGTGACTCACGCCTGTAATCCCAGCACTTTGGGAGGCTGAGGTGGTTGGATTGCTTGAGCTCAGGAGTTCAAGACCAGCCTGGGCAACACGGCAAAACCTCTTATTGCTACAAAAAAATTAAAAACTTAGCCAGGCGCGGTGGCTCAAGCCTGTAATCCCAGCACTTTGGGAGGCCGAGGCGGGTGGATCATGAGGTCAAGAGATTGAGACCATCCTGGTCAACATAGTGAAACCCCGCCTCTACTAAAAATACAAAAAATTAGCTGGGCATGGCGGCGCGTGCCTGTAATCCCAGCTACTCAGGAGGCTGAGGCAGGAGAAATGCCTGAGCCCAGGAGGCAGAGGTTGCGGTGAGCCGAGATCGCGCCATTGCACTCCAGCCTGGGTAACAAGAGCAAAACTCCGTCTCAAAAAAAAAAAAAATTAAAAACTTAGCTGGGCGTGGTGGCTTGCGTCTGTGGTCCCAGCTACTTCGGGGGCTGAGGTAGCAGAATCACTTGAACTCAGGAGGTGGAGCTTGCAGTGAGCCGAGATCACTTCACGGCACTCCAGCTTGGGTGACAGCAAGACCTTGTCTCAAAAGAAAAAAATAAAAAGAAGCTTGAGAAACACTGCTTTAAATCAAAGCCCTAGAAAAGGTTCTCACTGCTGGCCTGTTGGTGGCAGCAAGCAATTTTCTGCCCTGGGCCTAAGACCTGACAGAACTAACTGCCAACCGTGCTTTCACTTCCATGTCTTTTTTTTTCTGCTAATCAGGAAGCAGATGCCTGTACCACAAGCTTTGCCTCTGGGAGATACTTCTAAGTCAATTGTTAATGGAGTTAATTAATTAATTAAATCTATTTAGATTGTTTTCTGTTTGCTGTCAACTGTTATTTCCCAATGCTGTGAATGCTTTCTATACTGAGAAAGAAGAAATGGGCAGAAGCCAGGGCACTCAGTCTCTGATGTTTCCCTTCCAGGTGAGGGTCATAAATGATGAGCTTTACCGGAAGACTCTGGAGGAAATTGTTCGCTCCCTGGATAAGATGGAAAATGCCAACATTCCTTCTGTGTCCCTGTCCAAGCGAGAGGTAGGAAGGACATGTTAAGAATATTAGCATTCGGCCGGGCGCGGTGGCTCAAGCTTGTAATCCCAGCACTTTGGGAGGCCGAGGCGGGTGGATCACGAGGTCGAGAGATCGAGACCATCCTGGTCAACATGGTGAAACCCCGTCTCTACTAAAAATACAAAAAAAAAATTAGCTGGGCATGGTGGCGCGTGTCTGTAATCCCAGCTACTCAGGAGGCTGAGGCAGGAGAATTGCCTGAACCCGGGAGGCGGAGGTTGCGGTGAGCCGAGATTGCGCCATTGCACTCCAGCCTGGGTAACAAGAGCGAAACTGCGTCTCAAAAAAAAAAAAAAAAAAAAAAAAAAAAAAAATTAAAAAAGGGCCGGGCGCGGTGGCTCAAGCCTGTAATCCCAGCACTTTGGGAGGCCGAGGCGGGTGGATCACGAGGTCAAGAGATCGAGACCAGCCTGGTCAACATGGTGAAACCCCGTCTCTACTAAAAATACAAAAAATTAGCTGGGCATGGTGGCGTGTGCCTGTAATCCCAGCTACTCAGGAGGCTGAGGCAGGAGAATTGCCTGAACCCAGGAGGCGGAGGTTGCGGTGAGCCGAGATCGTGCCATTGCACTCCAGCCTGGGTTAACAAGAGCGAAACTCCGTCTCAAAAAAAAAAAAAAAAAAAAAAAAAGAATATTAGCATTCTAGAGAGACAGAACTAAAAAAAAAAAAAAAAAAAGAAAGAAAAAAAGAGAATTATTATCATTGAGGCCAGGCACGGTGCCTCATACCTGTAATCCCAGCACTTTGGGAGGCCTAGGCAGGTGGATCACCTGAGGTCAGGAGTTCGAGACCAGCCTGACCAACACAGAGAAACCCCATCTCTACTAAAAATACAAAATTAGCTGGGGGTGGTGGTGCAGGCCTGTAATCCCAGCTACTTGAGAGGCTGGAGAATCACGTGAACCTGGGAGGTGGAGGTTGCAGTAAGCCAAGATTGTGCCATTGCACTCCAGCTTGGGCAACACGAGTGAAACGCTGCCTTAAAAAAAAAAAAAAGAATATTAGCATCAGACTCTTCTATTCCTAGAACTTAAATCTCCCTCATCTATTGGAGCTCAGAGTTCCAGGAGGCACCTATACCACTATTGGACTGTAGTCTTTCTCTTTTTTTTTTTTTTTTTTCGGAGACGGAGTTTCGCTCTTGTTACCCAGGCTGGAGTGCAATGGCGCGATCTCGGCTCACCACAACCTCCGCCTCCTGGGTTCAAGCAATTCTCCTGCCTCAGCCTCCTGAGTAGCTGGGATTACAGGCACACACCACCATGCCCAGCTAAATTTTTGTATTTTTAGTAGAGACGGGGTTTCACCTTGTTGACCAGGATGGTCTCGATCTCTCGACCTTGTGATCCACCCACCTCGGCCTCCCAAAGTGCTGGGATTACAGGCTTGAGCCACCGCGCCCGGCTGGACTGTAGTCTTTCTTGATAGACTGCTTCTAGATAAAGTGAGGCTGATGTTGTTAGCTGAGAAGAGAGAGGTTATTGGCTTAGGTCATCATGTCCCGCTCTTCTAAACCAGAAGAGGATTCAAAATGTGTTTTTATTTTAGAATAACTGTTGTATATTCTTGCAATAGATTTTTCTTACTGATGCTTTGCCTTGGGATTAAATTGAGTTTGGATGCCCATGAGCTGATGGGAGGCAGACAGTATAGAAAAGGAATAGGTAATATATGAAGTTGAATAAGGTTTGAAGGTTTTTCATGGAAGAGCCAAATGGAAGATCATTCAAACTTGACAGTTATGCAGAGTCAAATGGGGGTTTAAGGTGAAGGCATTTTTTGTTTGTTTGTTTGTTTTAGATAGAGTCTCACCCTGTCACTCAGGATGGAATGCAATGGCATGATCACAGCTCATTGCAACCTCTTTCTTCTAGGTTCAAGCAATTCTCATGCTTTCGCCTCCCAGTAGCTGGGATTACAGGCATGTGCCACCATGCCTGACTAATTTTTGTGTTTTTAGTAGAGATGGGGTTTCGCCATATAGGCCAGGATGGTCTCGAACTCCTGAGCTCAAGTGATCTGCCCACTTTGGCCTCCCAAAGTGCTAGGATTATAGGCCTGAGCCACTGCACCAGCTGCTGATGGCACTTTTAATGCCCTAGGTGTCCAGCTACTTGGAAGGATGGGCTTAATCATCATGTTTAGTAGTGGAATTTGTGAAGGGTGTTTTGTAAATGGTTTTGGGGTATAGGCGATAAAAACTTTCATTTCTTCAGGAAATATAACACAAAAACAAATGGAATTTTTGGATTTGAGGTTGAACACAGATAACTAGTCTTTAGTGGGAACTGTGGCCTCCCAGGTAAATACGTAAAACAGAGACATTTAAAAGAGATGGTCCTTCATTTTCTTTCCATGGTAAGGATTGCCCAGTTGGGGTGGCTAGGCAGGTGGCCAAGGAAAGGGCACTGGTTTTCACTGGACCCGGGCTTCTTCCCAGTTCTGTTTTCAGAATGTCAAGTACATGCAATTGCAAGTAGAATCCTTTACAATTCATAATGGACAAGTACCCTGTCATTTTGAATTCATCAACAAGCCTGATGAAGAGTCTTACTGTAAGCAGTGGCTAAATGCCAACCCCAGCAGAGGCTTCCTCCTGCCAGGTAAGGCCTCTGTCCCAGCTTCCTGGTGTCTGGTTTGGGGAAAGCCTTACTCTATATTTGCTCATTTTCCTAAAATAAGCTTTTTGCTTGAGTGTTTTATTCTCTGCTTGAGGCTTTTTAAAAAGCCCTATAGAGGAACCCATTCATAAATAAAATGTAAAATAGGAGCATGAGTTCAGTTTCTTTTTTTTTTTTTTTTTTTGAGACGGAGTTTCGCTCTTGTTGCCCAGGCTGGAGTGCAATGGCGCGATCTCGGCTCACCGCAACCTCCGCCTCCTGGGTTCAAGCAATTCTCCTGCCTCTGCCTCCTGAGTAGCTGGGATTACAGGCACGCGCCACCATGCCCAGCTAATTTTTTGTATTTTTAGTAGAGACGGGGTTTCACCATGTTGACCAGGATGGTCTCGATCTCTTGACCTCGTGATCCACCCGCCTCGGCCTCCCAAAGTGCTGGGATTACAGGCATGAGCCACCGCGCCCGGCGAGTTCAGTTTCAAAAGCATTCTGTCATTTATATGTTCTATAATTTCACAGAAAGAGAAAACCTAAGATTACTGTAGAGCAGTTGCTGCTGTTACTTTTGTCCTCAATAAAGTTTCTCAAGTTAAAAAAAAAAAAAAAAAAAAAGCAGGTGCTGCTGTTAAAGGAACCATTTTATGATCTCGCTATAATCAACTCCCAATTATCTGCTCTTGATAATGGGGAAGTAATCCAGAAATTATGTCTGGCCCTGGAATGTACCATTCAGATTTTTCCCAACTTTTCCTTTGCACGCTGCATGATTCTGTGTGACAGAACAATGAAGGGTGTTCTGTGGACAGTTCGCAGGTTGATAATTGTGTTACATTTCTTCTGAATCAGGTCTCTTCATCTTACCTGGCTCAGGGAAGGCTCTTTGATCCATGCCTTCTTATTCTCTTAGTATTTCTAGCTTGAGCTGTGCTCCTTAGTACTTCAATTTTATAGCATTTGTCTATTTACATGTTTTTGTCTGTTGTTTTCATATTCCCATTTGGACTATAAACTCTTTGTTCTTGTTTCTCCTGCATGCCAAGCACATTTAGATGCTTGATACCTTTTCTTTCCTTTTCCTAACCCTTCATGCCTTACCCTCTTCCCTCCTATCTTCTTTTCCCCTTTCCTCTTAGCCTCCCCCTAGCCAACATTATTTTTAAAATTTCTCTGCAGATTCTGACGTTGAGATTGAATTGGAGCTCTTCGTAAATAAGACCACAGCTACAAAGCTCAACTCTGGTGAAGACAAAATTGAGGACATTCTGGTTTTGCACTTGGACAGGGGAAAGGATTACTTTTTGCCTGTGTCTGGGAACTACCTGCCTAGCTGTTTCGGGTCTCCCATTCATACACTGTGTTACATGAGAGAGCCAATCCTAGACCTGCCACTTGAAACTATTAGTGAGCTGGTGAGTAATATGCCACAAGGAAATACCTAGAACTTTGTAGCAGCCAAGCCAGTCAAACAGGATATTCCTATGCCTACCTTCCTAGGGACTTAGAAATTCTTCAGCCTTCTAGAGCTTGCTTAGTGTATCAGCTGTATAAAGCTGTGCTACAAACTATCTGAAATTTTAGTAGTTTTTAACACCAAGTTATTGCTTCTCATGATTCTGTGAATTTCCAGTGTGGGTCTTCTGCTGGTCTCACCTAGCCCCATTTGTGTGGTTATAATCAGATGGCAGCTGTGATGGCCAGAGGGCTCCAGATGGCCTCTCTCACATGTCTTGGTGTTTGCCTTTTCTCTGGATTTCACTCACCACATAGGCTCATCATTCAGAAGGCTAGCTCAGGTTTCTGTAGCTAGTGGCAAGAACATGAGAGAACTGTAAGGCCTTTTGTAGCATAGGCTCCAAAATGCACACAAGGCCACTTCTGCCATGTTTTATTGGTAGAGCAAGTTATGAAGCCGTACTAGATTCTATGAGTGGAGCAATAAAGACTCTGCTTCTTTTTTTCTTTTCTTTTCTTTTCTTTCTTTCTTTCTTTTTCTTTTCTTTTCTTTTTTTTTTTTGAGACAGAGTTTCTCTCTGTTGCCCAGGCTGGAGTCCAGTGGCTTGGTCTCGGCTCACTGCAACCTCCACCTCCTCCTGGGTTCAAGTGATTCTCCTGCCTCTGCCTCCCCAGTAGCTGGGACTACAGGCATGCACACCACCATGCCTGGCTGATTTTTGTATTTTTCATAGAGATGGAGTTTCACCATGTTGTCTAGGCTAGTCTGAAACTCCTGACCTCAAGTGATCTGCCAACCTCAGCCTCCCAAAGTGCTGGGATTACAGGTGTGAGCCACCACACCTGGCCTTTTTTTTTGTGGGGGGAGGGTAGGGTCGGAGTCTCACTCTGTTACCCAGGCTGGAGTGCAGTGGTGTGATCTTGGCTTACTGCAACCTCTGTCTCCCAGGTTCAAGTGATTCTCCTGCCTCAGCCTCCTGAGTAAGTGGGATTACAGGTACCTGCCACTATACCCAGCTAATTTTTGTATTTTCTGTACAGGGTTTTGCAGTGTTGGCCAGGCTGGCCTGGAACTCCTAACCTCAGGTGATCCTTCCACCCTGGCCTCCCCAAGTGTTGGGATTACAGGTGTGAACTACTGTGCCTGGCCTAACTCCACTTCTTGATAGGAAAGAAAAGCTGCAAAATGCTGTGGCCATGTTTTTCAGTATTTCACTTACAGTATGTTTCTTTGTCTGAGCTGTTATAACAGAATCCCATAGACTGGGTGATTTATCAGCAATAGAAATTTATTTCTCACAGTTCTGAGAACTGGGAAGTCCAAGATCAAGGCACAGTCAGATTTGCTGTCTGGTGAGGTGAGGGCTTACTTCCTGGCTCAGAGAGGGCCATCTTCTCACTGTGTTCTTACATGGCAGAAGAGATGAGGGAGGTCTCTGTGGTATCTTGTTTAGGGGCACTAATCCCATTCATGAGGGCAAATACCTTATCACCTAACCATCTCCCAAAGGGCCACCTCCTAGTACCATCACACTAGGGATTAGGTTTCAACGTATTTGAAGGGGTTATAAACATTCAGTCTGTAGCAGTACATTAGAGAAACTCAGCCATGGGTTGGACACAGTGACTCACAGCTGTAATTCCAGCACTTTGGGAGGCCAAGGCAGGAGAATTGTTTTAGGCCAGGACTTTGAGACCAGCCTGCACAACATAGTGAGGCTCCGTCTCTACAAAAAATTAAGAAATCAGCTGGGTATGGGGGTGTGCACCTTTAGTCCTAGCTACTTGGGAGGCAGGGGTGGGAGGGAACCGGGGAGTTCAAGACTGCAGTACCTGAGCAATAGTGTAAGACCCTGTCTCTAAAAAAAAAGAGGAACTCAGCCATGGATTCTAAAATAATGAAAGTTCCATAGTCAATGATATTATTCTTTTTTTTTTTAAAATCATCATTGGTAGGTTATCATCCTAAACTAAATTTGCTGCGATCTAAAAGCTTCCTATGAAGACAATTCTAATGCAAGGGAAATAATTTGGAGCAGACCTATGGTAATATGCATGCTTTTTTTTTTTTTCCAATGCATTTTTTAAATCTAGGGAGTCTTGAACTTCCTCTTCTGCATCATGTAGATGAAAACAGGGACCCAATCAAGGAGAGTGATTTGTCACAGGTCATATGGTGAGTTAACAGTGGACCTGGAGGCTGGGTACAGTGGCTCCCATCTGTAATCCCAGCACTTTGGGAGTCTGAAGTGGGTATGTCACTTGAGTCCAGGAGTTCAAGACCAGCCTGGGCAACAGAGTAAGACCCCATCTCAAGATTAAAAAAAAAAAAAAAGAATTAAAAAGAGAATCAAAACAATGGACGTGGGCCTTGAACTCAGATTTTCGGACTCCCAGGTCTGTGCTGTTTCCTCACCAGATGACACCTCTCTAGTTCTAATAGTGAAATGCTATAGGAATGATTTTTTTCCTAAAAATATGGTATATATTTCACCTGATTCATTGAAACTGCTTGTCATAACCCTCTCCTGATTCTCAAAAATTACCTTTTGTTCCTTGATCGTATCACCTGAATTCATTTCTGTCTGAGGACTGTGTGGTTAGGGGCATTGAATTATTTTCCTTCTTCCATGGGTTTGCCGTCCCCATGTCATGCATTTTCCTGGAGCCGGCCTGGCAGAATTTCTGTCATGATCTTGATTGCTTTCCAGACTTTGATGCCAATACAGACTGAAAGTAATGGGAGCCAGCTGGAGAGACCCTTGGAAATTCCCAAAGAGCTCTGGATGATGGTTGATTACCTGTACCGAAATGCTGTCCAGCAGGTAGGTTGTGTTTAGGCATTCAGACCTGATTGAGGCCAGGCTGCCTTGAGAAAGACCATCAGCTCCAAGAACTTTTTGCATAAGGAACCTGTGGAGAACTGTTCTTCCCCCATGAAGGGGAAGGAGGATAGGGAGTATGCCATGTTTCACAATGCTGGGAGACTGCTTTTTTTTTTTTTTTTTTTTGAGACAGAGTCACGTTCTGTCGCTCAGGCTAGAGTATAAATGGCGCAATCTCAGCTCACTGCAACCACCACCTCCTGGGTTCAAGTGGTTCTCCTGCCTCAGTCTCCTGAGTAGCTGGGATTACAGGCACCCACCATCATGCCTGGCTAATTTTTGTATTTTTATAGAGAAGGAGTTTCACCATGTTGGCCAGGCTGGTCCTGAACTCCTGACCTCAGATGATCCACCTGCCTCAGCCTCCCAAAGTGCTGGGATGACAGGTATGAGCCATGGTCCCCAGCCAGAGACCCTGCTATGACATGCAGTACATGATCACCCCCAAGGGAAGCAGTGCTGCGTAGGAAGGCCATCCCAGCACTGCATAGCATGTTCCTTCCCATGGCCTCTGGGGTCCCTCAGCCAGAAAACTGCCTGGAGGCCTCTCAGAATGTTATTGCTCTCCTTCAGGAACTCTCACCAGCTTCTGGGAATGAGTGGGGCTAACTTGTTGATAAACCAAGGAGAGGCAGGGGACCAGATGCAACCCCTGGTCCTCGAATTTGGAGGCCTGATTTCTAGAGAGACTAGGGCAGGCTTCACTAGTCAGATTGGTCAGTTTCACTGATCTGTTTATATAGGTTTCAGGGAGACCTATACAAACTATAAGATCACTTTATTTTTATTTTTTTTATTTTTTTTATTTTTTTTGAGGCAGAGTTTCACTCTTGTTACCCAGGCTGGAGTGCAATGGTGCGATCTCGGCTCACCGCAACCTCCGCCTCCTGGGTTCAGGCAATTCTCCTGCCTCAGCCTCCTGAGTAGCTGGGATTACAGGCATACATCACCATGCCCAGCTAATTTTTTGTATTTTTAGTAGAGACGGGGTTTCACCAAGTTGACCAGGATGGTCTCGATCTCTTGACCTTGTGATCCACCCGCCTCGGCCTCCCAAAGTGCTGAGATTACAGGCTTGAGCCACTGCGCCCGGCCACTGTAAGATCACTTTACCACTTCAGAGCAACATACTTTTCTTTTTTAGTATATATTCTTTTTTTTTTGAGACAGGGTCTCACTCTGTTGCCCAGGCTGGAGTGCAGTGGCACGATCTTGGCTCACTGCAACCTCTGCCTCCCGGGTTCAAGCAATTCTCCTGCCTCAGCCTCCCAAGTAGCTGGAATTACAGGCACTCGCCACCATGCCTGGCTAATTTTGCATTTTGAGACAAGGTTTTACCATGCTGATCAGGCTGGTCCTGAACTCCTGTGACCTCAAGTGATCCACCGCCTCGGACTCCCGTAGTGCTGGGATTACACGTGTGAGCCACCACACCTGGCCTTAATATACATTTTTATGATATTCCATTTTCACTTTTTTTCCCCTCACATTTATTGAGAATTGCAGTATGCCAAGCACTATTCTAAGTGTTTTACAGCATTGCCTCTAGTTTTCACAGTAGTTCTCACATGAAGTAAAACAGATGCCTGGAAAGGTGAATAACTTGGTTAAGGTCCCAAAGCTGATAAATGGGCAGAGGTGGGATTTGAATACAGTTAATCTGAGTAGAGAAGTCATATTCTTCAGTGCTATACTATTCTACCTTCTCTGCAGAGCTCCTTTCAAATGTAATTTTTGAGCAATATATATAACAATGTTACTATTAATACAGTTATATGGTATTAAGTCATTTTATAAAACAAATGAACATAAAGTGTCCTGATACTAATGGAAATAGCTTTGCTGCCATAAACTTATTTGCTCAAAGCAGTGAAGTACCTTGTTAGCTTTCTCTTATGCTCTTATGCATATTTTCTTCATTTTTTCCCCCCGGGTAATCCCTCTATACCACTGCCGGAAACACAGCTGCTTTTATGTTTTCTCCAGTGTTGGATCTTCTTGCATATGGTATGCCCTACCCATAGTTTTATAGTAGATGCCTGAAGACCTACTGTAGAAACATGCCTGGGAAGGCCCACAAGATGAATTAGCCAAATCAGCTTAAATCAGAGAATCTGCCAGGGCCTTACCACACTGCTCCTTTTTGCATTCTGCTAGTGATATTATTAGGTCAGGAAATCATTGGTGATTTTCTGAGAAAATAATTCTTTTGTGACTATCTTCCATTTTGCAGGAAGATCTGTTTCAGCAACCGGGCCTGAGGTCAGAATTTGAACATATCAGGGACTACTTGGATACTGGAATGATTGATAACCTCTGTATCCTTCAGACATTCAGCTCCGTGTGTGTGTGTGTGTGTGTGTGTGTGTGTGTGTGTATGTGTGTGTAAGAGAGAGAGAAAGAGAGAGAGAGAATATGAATGAGGGGTGAGAAAAAGGAAAGTATTTTCAGACTTAGAATCTGATATTGTATCCTCAGTTACCATGTTTTATTTAAAGTTTGCATAGAGAAGACTTTACAACTTTTTTTTTTCTTTTGAGACAGGGTCCATTTCTGTCACCCAGGCTGGAGTGTAGTAGTGTGATCTCAGATCACTGCAGCCTTTACTTCCTGGGCTCAAGCGATCCTCCCACCTCAGCCTCCTGAGTAGCTGGGACCACAGGTGAATACCACCATACCTGTGGTCCCAGCTTTTGAACTTTTCATAGAGGCAGGGTTTTGCCATGTTGCCCAGGCTAAGAATTTACAACTGTAAGTAACCAATATAGCAGGAACTCAGGAGGCCTGGCTCAACTGACAGTGTGGCCCCTTTGAGAAGTTAGGCTGGCATTCTCGCTCTGAGCAGAGCCTGACTGGGCAGGCAGCACTTCTGGCATGTGCTTGCTCCTGGGCCTTTTCCTAACCATGGGCAGCAGCACCATCGATTCCTTAATGATAGGTCAAAAGCTGCCAGCAATCATTCTGTAGCCGAAGCCCTGCTGCTTTTCCTGGAGAGCCTTCCAGAGCCTGTCATCTGTTACAGCGCCTACCATAACTGCTTGGAGTGTTCTGGCAACTACACAGCAAGCAAGCAGGTGAGGGGAAGCACTGAGCATCAGCATACACATGTGGTTAGCCCCAGACCCCATGGGACCTAAGGGAACAGAGTGGACGCAGTCCCTCAAGTGCAGTGTCTCAGAAACTGAACACCTTATCTTTCCTTCTCAAACTCAAACCTGTTCTTTCTCTCATGTCTTTGTTTCTTTTAATGGCATCACCCTTAATTCCAGTGAGTCAACCTGAGACCTGAGTCATTTCTGACTCCACCCTCTTCGTGCCTCCCACGGGCCCAGTCTCGTTGATCTATGACCTGTCTTCTCTCTTATATTCTCATTGTACTTAGCTTGGTTTCAGTGCGCTGCATTCACGATCTCCTTCTGCTGATTTGTTTTGCACACTGCCATCAGATTGTATATTCTAAATTAGGCTATTGTCATGTGACTATTGGTCAGAAAACCATACTTGGCTCTCCATTGACAATTACTAATTTTCTTAAATATTGAAGACTTTCTATGATCTAGCTTCGTGGTTCACACATACAACAGGCCTTGGCAGAATCTAGAAAACTTGCCAATAATACAGATTCTAAAGCCTCACCCTAAATCCACTGAATCATAATCACTTTTTTTTTTTGAGACGGAGTTTCGCTCTTGTTACCCAGGCTGGAGTGCAATGGCGTGATCTTGGCTCACCGCAACCTCTGCCTCCTGAGCTCAGGCAATTCTCCTGCCTCAGCCTCCTGAGTAGCTGGAATTACAGGCATGTGCCACCATGCCCAGCTAATTTTTTTTGTATTTTTAGTAGAGACAGGGTTTCACTATGTTGACCAGGATGGTCTCGATCTCTCGACCTCGTGATCCACCCGCCTCAGCCTCCCAAAGTGCTGGGATTACAGGCTTGAGCCACCGCGCCCGGCCACTTTTGTTTTTTGTTTGTTTGTTTGAGATGGAGTCTCGCTGTGTCACCCAGGCTGTAGTGCATTGGCGGGATCTCAGCTCATTGCAACCTCCGCCTCCCGGATTCAAGTGATTCTCCCGTCTCAGCCTCCCAAGTAGCAGGGATTACAGGTGTACGCCACCATGCCTGGCTATTTTTTGTATTTTTTTTTTTTTTCTTTTTTGAGACGGAGTTTCGCTCTTGTTACCCGGGCTGGAGTGCAATGGCGCGATCTCAGCTCACCACAACCTCCGCCTCCTGGGTTCAGGCAATTCTCCTGCCTCAGCCTCCTGAGTAGCTGGGATTACAGGCATGCGCCACCATGCCCAGCTAAATTTTTTGTATTTTTAGTAGAGATGGGGTTTCACCATGTTGGCTAAGCTAGTCTCAAACTCCTGACCTCAGGTGATCCACCCGCCTTGGCCTCCCAAAGTGCTGGGATTACAGGCTTGAACCACTGAGCCTGACTGATAATCACTTTTGGAATCTATTTTGTTCAAGCTTCCAAACTGATTCTGATATGCAGATAGCTGGAGTACTCATTGATCAGGGCCTGATCAACCCTTCTAGTTATGCTCCTGCCAAAATTGACTTCTCATAAAGTGTTCTACTTATCTATTTTTCTCCTCTTGCCCTTTTTTACACATTCTTTGCTCTAAATAACCCATTTCTTACCTCTGTAAATCCAGTTTTGTCTTATATTCAAGACCCAACTAAAATGTCTTATTTCCTGAAGTCTTATAAGAACATGCAGTTAAAAGGCTGACTTCTAAATTCATGTCACATTTGACCTGTACCTCTCTTTTGGTACTCAGTGGTAAGCAACCACTTTTCTGTGTACAGTCTTACTCGTGCACTTGGATGGTGTATTCAGTTCTTGGACTGTAGTAGGCACCTGACAAATGATTCCGTTAACAAAAGACAAATTCCAATTCTCCCTCTTTCAGGTCATTTCTACTCTCCCCACATTCCACAACAATGTCTTCAAATACTTGATGGCATTTTTGCAAGAACTGCTGAAAAATTCAGCAAAAAATCATTTGGATGAGAATATTCTAGGTAAGCAGCCAAAAGTCTATGGAAAGCATTTCTGCAAACTGAGAGACTTGTAATGAGAAATGTGGTTGAGGAGGGTCCCAAGTCCCTTGCAGTAGAACTAAAATATTATGCTCTGGGCCAAGATTTTTTTTTTTTTGAGATGGAGTTTTGCTCTGGTTGCTCAGGCTAGAGTGCAATGGTGTGATATTGGCTCACCACAACCTCTACCACCCGGGTTCAAGCAATTCTTCTGCCTCAGCCTCCCATGTAACTGGGATAACCGGCATGTGCCACCATGCCCAGCTAATTTCATATTCTTCAGTAGAGACAGTTTCTCCATGTTGGTCAGGCTGGTCTCGAATTCCCAACCTCAGGTGATCCACCCGCCTTGGCCTCCCAGAGTGCTGGGATTATAGGTGTGAGCCATCGCACTCGACCTGGGCAGATTTTTTTAAAGCAGAAAGTATTGCATTTGGACATTCCTCCCCACTCCTAACAATGCAAGAATAAGTATAATCATGGACCGGGCATGATGGCTCACATCTGTAATCTTAGCACTTTGGGAGGCCGAGGCAGGCAGATCACCTGAGGTCAGGAGTTTGAGACCAGCTGAGCTAACATGGTGAAAAATACAAAAATGAGCTGGGTGTGGTGGTGGGCGCCTGTAATCCCAGCTACTAGGGAGGCTGAATCAGGAGAATCACTTGAACCCAAGTGATGGAATGGAGGCTGCACTGAGCCGAGACTGCACCACTGCATTCCAGCCTGGGTGACAGAGTGAGACTGCGTCTCACAAAAAAAGTATAATCCTGTACCGTATAATATCTTGGTCAACAACGGACCATATATACAATGGAGGGTCCATTCGATTATAATACCATGTGTGTGTGTGTGTGTGTGTGTGTGTGTGTGTGTGTTTATGTTTGAGACAGTCTTGCTCTGTCACCCAGGCTGGAATGCAGTGGTGTGAACTCAGCTCACTGCACTCTCTGCCTCCTGGGTTCAAGTGATTCATGTGCCTTAGCCTCCCAGGTAGCTGGGATTATAGATGCCTGCCACCATGTCTGGCTATTTTTTTCTTTTTTGGAGACAGAGTCTCGCTCTGTCACCTAGGCTGGAGTGCAGTGGCATGATCTCGGCTCACTGCAACCTCTGCCTCTGGGGTTCAAGCGATTCTTCTGTCTCAGCCTCCCAAGTAGCTGGGATTACAGGTGTGTGCCACCATACCCAGCTAATTTTTGTATTTTTAGTAGAGATGGGGTTTCACCATATTAACCAGGCTGGTCTTGAACTCCTGACCCTGTGATCCGCCCACTTTGGCCTCCCAAAGTGCTGGGATTACAGGCGTAAGCCATCATGCCCAGCCTTTTTTTTTTTTTTTTTTTTTTTAAGGGCGGTAACCAATGTCCACCCTCCCCACTTCTGGGTGGGAGAGTGCTGGAAGCCAGATGGCCACTCGGGCCCACGCAGCCACCCCTGGGCCTTAGCTATCCTTACCATGCTCACAAAACCCTGTGCGAGCCTGGAGACCAGCCTCAGCGAGAATGGGAGGGAGGTGAGGCAGTGTGGGAATGAGAGGGAAAGAGGCAGGAACCAGAGAGGCGGGACACCAAGCAGGGCTGCCTCCCCCAACACCCTGTAACCTCGGCCACCTCCGACAGGGCACCATTCCCCTTGGAAAGCCCACTGTGGGGGGACAGGCTAATTTTTGTATTTTTAGTAGTGATGGGGGTTTCACCATGTTGGCCTATCTGGTCTCAAACTACTGGCCTCTAGTGATCTGCCTGCTTCGGCTTCCCAAAGTGCTGAGATTACAGGTGCGAGCCACTGCACCTGGCCCATAATACTGTATTTTTGATGTACCTTTCCTATGTTTAGATCTATTTGGATGCACAAATACTTACCAGTGTGTTACAGTTGCCTGTAGTATTCAGTATAGTAACTTGCTGTACAGGAGCCTAGGAGCGATAGGCTATACCATCTAGAATTGTGTAAGTACAAGTGCGAGTAAAGTTTGTGTAAAGTGTAAGTACACTCTTACGATGTTCGCACAATGACTAAATCACCTATTGACATTTTTCAGAACATACCCCTGCTGTAAGTGATGTGTGTCTTTAGTACCTTCTTTTGCTGAATCATTTATTTTCTGTTTTTTTCTTGCAGCTAGCATATTTGGCAGCTTATTGCTCCGAAACCCAGCTGGTCACCAAAAGCTTGATATGATGGAGAAGAAGAAGGCTCAAGAATTTATTCATCAGTTCCTCTGCAACCCACTCTGAGCCTCTCTCTTCTATTTTACTTGAGGCAGCCAATTACCAGCCCCACTGTTTCAGCTCAAGAGCTGTCTTAAGATAATTATGTGAGGCTACTTGGTAGCAAGAATGGCAGCTGTTTCCTGAGCCTAGTGCCCTGACGAAGCCCACCATTGGTTAGCACACTCAGTGCTGTAAGTCATGAAGACATAGGAGAAAATCCACCATAATAAAACTGACGTTCAACTTTCAACTTCAGTTATTTAACACAGATTGAGTGCAATTTTTTTTTTTTTTTTTTTTTTTTTGAGAAAGAGTTTCACTCTTGTTACCCAGGCTGGAGTGTAGTGGTGAAATCTCAGCTCACTGCAACCTTCCCCACCTTAGTTCAAGCGATTCTCCTGCGTCAGCTACCTGAGTAGCTAGGATTACAGGCACTTGCCACCACGCCCGGCTAATTTTTTGTATTTTTAGTAGAGATGGGGTTTCACCATGTTGGCCAGGCTGGTCTCGAACACCTGGCCTCAGGTGATTCACCCGCCACAGCCTCCCAAAGTGCTGGGATTACACTCGTGAGCCACCACATCAGGCTTTTTTTTTTTTTTTTTTTTAATTTAAAACGTTTTAAAATAACTACTTGTACTCACTCACCCTACCTCCGGGGCATAGTTGGTGCCTTCCCTGTAGCCTGGGGTGATATCTTCATGATCAGATATTTGAAGGAACTTTGGAGTCCTGAAAGGACTATGAGTTAGTCGACAAGAATGCAGGCAGAAACTGCTGGATAAAATAGGCTACAGCCACCCCAGATGCTTTCAGTGCTGGGTCTGAGGATATGTGTATATGCACAGGCAAACTCCACCTCCATTTCTGCTCGGATAATGGCTCGGTAACTCTGACTGGCTGCTCAGCCTCTGAAGGCAATACAGGTGTTTAAAAAATTAAAATAACCAGGCGCAGTGGCTCAAGCCTGTAATCTCAGCACTTTGGGAGATTGAGGTGGGAGGACTGCTAGAGACCAGGAGTTTGGGACCAGCCCGGGCAACACAAGGAGACCTCATCTCTACAAAAAATTTTTTAAAAATTAGCCGGGCGTGGTGATGCATGCCTGTGGTCCCATTTACTTGGGAAGCTGATGTGGGTGGATCACTTGAGCACAGGAGTTTGAGGCTGCAGTGAGCTACGATCACATCACTCTACTTCCAGCCTGGGTGACAGAGGGAGACTCCGTCTCTAAAAATAAAATGTAAAATCACTGAAGAAATGAGTGTTCGATGAAACAAGTGGGATTTTCTGGGCCAGCAAGTCTTCCAAACTGTATATGATGCATCCCCTCTCTCATGTAATATATTTTAATGATAAATGTATATTTAACAGTGGTGGTGGTGTATGTTTTTCTCTCTTAAGAGATGGCAGTTCGCTGCAGCTGGACTTTGTGGCCCAAGCCTTGGGACCAAAGAGACATATTGCTGGCAGTCAGCAAAAAATGGGTATAGCACTGGCCTGACCCCCCTTGATCCCTGGTCTAATTTTTGGAGTTGTCCCACTGAATATTCGAGAAGCAGCTTATGGGAAAAACAGGCAGTGGCTGCTGGGAGGATCTAACAGCTAGATCCTCCAGGCATTTGGAAAGGACAGGGGCGTAACGAAGGCACACGCAGAATTGTTTCCTGGGTACAAATACAACTACTTCTGGGGACTGTAAAATGGGTTTAAGACACGGACCAGCAGGACAATGTGAACGGTTAAAGGGAGTGGCCGGTAGGTGGCGCTAACTGGCCCGGACAAGAGTCCCGTCGAAGCCGCGTCCGCTGCTGGGGAAGAAAGTTGGGACCGCTTGCCCGGGCGAGAGTGAGAAGGGCGTCCTAGGGAAGCGCGTGGTACAAGGAAGAGGCGAAGGCGTCCTCTCCAGCTGGGCTTGGAATACTCTTAGTTCTGCCTTTGGAGTCTTATCTTCCTTTCTGGGGCCTCCCGCCTGTGTTAACTTTGATGGGTGCTGAAGGGGAGGCCGGAACCCCGGAGGGAGAAACCCGGGAACGTCACGGCCGTCCAGACTCCCCAGGCGAGTTGGAGTCAGAGTTGTGACGGCCAACTGTGGTCCTTCCCGCTGCAGCTGTGGCTGCCTGGGCGAGGGCGGCCAGCGCAAACTCGGCTGACGATATTTCGGACTCTTGCTTTGGGGTTCGTTCCCTTCTTCTTGCGTCCTGTGCCGTGACGGCAACACCCTGCGGGCAGCCAGTAGCTACTCCGGGCGCTTCCCCGCGCGGACGAACTCACCCACTGGGCGCCTTCCCCACGGTGCCCCGCCCCGCTCCTCCCTCTCGCCAATTGGAGGCTTCAGCTCGGCCCCTGACAACCTGAGCCAACCAGAGGCGCCAGGGAGGGGCGGAGCGCTGTCCCCTCCTTCCTCCGGAAAGCGGAAGCGGAAGTGACGTTGAGGAAGGTGGGGCAATCATGGTGCCGCTGGGGAGGGGAGAAGCTGCTGCCGCCGCCGTTGCCGGGAGCCGCGGAGGTAAAAGGCGAAACTAGACTCGGCCTGGGCTTGGGACTTACCGGGGGCGCGGGACTTAGGCTCCTTCCTGAAGCATTTTCCAATGGAGACCTCAGTCCGGTCACCATAGGGACCCCACCCCTTGTCTGTTTCCATGGGGATGGGTATCCAGCCCCCCTTTCCTGTTTCCATGGAGACCCGGACCCTGCCCCTCTTCTCTGTGCTTGGAGACCCCCAGCTTGTCTTCGGATTTTTCTGTGTGGCCCCCTACTGGGGGCTGTTCCAGACAGGTTCATTTTCCCAGCCTCCTCTCAAGGAGGCTCTGTTCGCACTCCTCTTGGCCACCCTGAAACCTCCCGGTCTTGTTTGTTCCGGACAGTTGGTCTCTGCGTTGCCGCTGAGGGTGCCGGGGCAGCCCACTGGGGCCCTCGGTGCTCTTCTCTCTTCTCAGATGCAGCGAAATGTACATCTATGGGGTTGCGTAAGCCAGAGCTAGGGGTCGGGCCGGTACCTCCCGGATCGGATCCTTTGGCCTGTCTTTGGTAACTAAGCCACCCCACTAAGTAAAGGCTCACTTTCTAACCCAGAGCAAAAGAGAAAGATAAAGTGCAAAGCCAGACTGAAAAGGAAAAGGGATATGCTGATTATTTTAAAATTCTCTGTTCTGCCTGCCAAACCCACATTTGTAGAGCCTGTGTTTGTAGATGAAGGAAGAATCACTATTCCAGAACATGAAAGCTTCAAATGTGGTATTTTTCTCAAGAGAATATATCTTCCCAAGATACTGTCTTCACGAGAGTGTATGTTGTCATGTCTTTTATTCATTTAGCTGACATTTCCTGCACTTCTATTATCAGTGTGTTAGGCTAAGGGCTGTGGAAACAAAAATAATAAGTAAGACCCAATTCATTCAGGGATAAGAGCCCATTATACAACTATAACTTCTGATACCATATTTGTTTTAAGACATAAATAGATAACAGTGATCTTCACTGTTTGTGCCTGGGGATTAGCCCCTCCACCCAGAAGGTTGAAACATCTGTTCTAGGTAGCAGGGAAGAAATTCACACTTGTTCCTCTACGATTTATCAAACATTGTGCTTTGCATGTGTTGCCTCTTTTATTCCATGTAAAAGCTTTGAGAGAACAGGAATTACTAGTCCCATCTTGCACATAAGAAAAGCGACATACAGAAAAGTTACCCATGTAGTAGAGGGCAAAGCCAGGATCTGTAGGTAGATGACTCTTCCTCCAAAGCCTTGTTCCTTCTACCATAAATTACATGAGACTGTTTACTACCTCGCGGTCTAATTTGGAGGATATTTGAGTGCGTTTTCCTTTAAGATTTGTAGCAGTTCAGCCTTTAAGCAGCCACTGTTCTGTTTGCTCTTTTGTCCCCTTTAAGTATTTTGACCAGGTTTCAAATTGTTTGACAGGCACATTCAGAAGGTCTTATGAACTTATTCAATTTTTGAAAAGCATTGCTTTTCTTTCCTTCCTTCCTTTCTCTCTCTCCCTCTCTTTCTTTTTCTTTTTATAGAGATGGAGCCTCACTATGTTGTTTTGACCATGCTGATCTCATACTGGCCTCAAGTGATCCTCCCATCTCAGCCTCCCAACATGCTGGGATTACAGGCATGAGCCACCACGCCCAGTCAGCATTGCTTTTCTTTAAAAAAAACTTGATGGTTTCAAAGTTAAGATAATTAAAAAATTATTCCCTGCCGGGCGCGGTGGCTCAAGCCTGTAATCCCAGCACTTTGGGAGGCCAAGGCGGGTGGATCACAAGGTCAAGAGATCAAGACCATCCTGGTCAATATGGTGAAACCCCATCTCTACTAAAAATACAAAAATTAGCTGGGCGTGGTGGCGCATGCCTTATAATCCCAGCTACTCAGGAGGTTGAGGCAGGAGAATTGCCTGAACCCAGGAGGCAGAGGTTGTGGTGAGCCGAGATCGCGCCATTGCACTCCAGCCTGGGTAACAAGAGTGAAACTCCGTCTCAAAAAAAAAAAAAAAAAAAAAAAAACCATTCCCAAGGATGGTTTTTCTTTTGCTTTGGCTTGCTCTGTAAATGAGAGGGAAAATGAGCCCTGTGCTTGCTGTGGAGGTCCAAGGGTCTTGTGATATGACTCTAACTATGGCTTTGTTCTATTGCAGACAAGTCATTATCTTTTCATTTCTCACAATTGGGCTGAGCACAACTGAACCATGGGGGAACACAGTCCAGACAACAACATCATCTACTTTAAGACGGAGGAAGATGAGCTGACCCCCGATGATAAAATGCTCAGGTTTGTGGATAGAAATGGACTGGTGCCTTCCTCATCTGGAACTGTTTATGATAGGACCACTGTTCTTATTGAGCAGGACCCTGGCACTTTGGAGGATGACGATGATGACGGACAGTGCGGAGAACACTTGCCTTTTCTAGTAGGGGGTGAAGAGGGCTTTCACCTGATAGATCATGAAGCAATGTCCCAGGGTTATGTGCAACATATTATCTCACCAGATCAGATTCATTTGACAATAAACCCTGGTTCCACACCCATGCCACGAAATATCGAAGGTGCAACCCTCACTCTGCAGTCGGAATGTCCGGAAACGAAACGTAAAGAAGTGAGTAAAGCAGTCAGTGGGGGCCTAGTTGGTTTGGGGGCAAGTCCTTACAAAATTTTGGGTGCAAATTTTAGCTGGGGAGTAAAGGAGTGTGTGGGGTTAGGACTTAGAATAGTTTTGCTTATCAACAACACATATGCTTTAGGTTTTGTTGTGATTGCTTCTGGGACTTTGGTTTGTATAGCCACATTGAAATTTGGAAATACGAAATTGTAATTTCTCAAATATCCTTCCCTAGGTCATAATAAATTTCACTTAAGTAAGTCCATGTTTCTGAAACTAAAATAATTAGATTTAGCTTATCTGACAGGGAAGTAACTATAGAGTTGGCTTATTTGATAAAGAAATAACTATTTGGGCTGGCTGGCTCATTCCTGTAACCTCAGTACTTTGGGAGGCCAAGGCGGGTGGATCACGAGGTCAGGAGATCAAGACCATCCTGGCCAACATGATTAAACCCCATCTCTACTAAAATACAAAAATTAGCCAGGCGTGGTGGCACGTGCTTGTAATCCCAGCTACTTCGGAGGCGTGGCAGGAGAATTGCTTGTACCCAGGAGGCAGAGGGTGCAGTGAGCCGAGATTGCGCCACTGCACTCCAGCCTGGCGACAGAGCAAAACTCCATCTCAAAAAAACAAGGAAAAAAAAAGAAATAACTAGATTTGGCTTATCTCTGGGTTGTGTTTAAGTGATTTGTTTTGAACATGAGAATCTGCTGGAATATGTTTGTTTATTTATTTTATTTTATTTTTTAAGATGGAGTCTTATTCTGTCGCCGAGGCTCGGCTGGAGTGCTGCAGTGGTGCAGTCTTGGCTCACAGCAACCTCTGTCTCCTAGGTTCAAGTGATTCTCCTGCCTCAGCCTTCTGAGTAAGCTTGGATTATAGGTGCCTGCCACCATGCCTGGCCAGTTTTTGTATTTTCAGTAGAGATGGGGTTTCACGAGGTTGGCCTAGCTGGTTTCAAACTCCTGACCTCATGATCCACCTGCCTCGGCCTCCCAAAGTGCTGGGATTACAGGCGTGAGCCACCATGCCTGGTCTTAGAATATGTTTTATTATCTTAGTGAATATTTAATGAATTTTTCTTTTATGGTGACTCATGCCTGTAATCCCAGCACTTTGGGAGGCTGGGGCGAGTGGATCACTTGAGGTGGAATTTGTAACCAGCCTGGCCAATATGATGAAACCCCGTCTCTGCTAAAAATACAGAAATTAGCCAGGTGGTGGTGATGCAGGCCTGTAATCCCAGCTACTCAGGAGGCTGAGGCAGGAGAATTGCTTGGACCCAGGAGGCAGAGTTTGCAGTGAGCTGAGATCGAGCCACTACACTCTAGCCTGGGCGACAGAGCAAGACTCTGTCTTTAAAAAAAAAAAAAAAAGAAGGCCGGGCATGGTGGAATCCCAACACTTTGGGAGGCCAAGGTGGGCGGATTGCCTGAGCTCAAGAGTTCGCAACCAGCCTCGGCAATACGATGAAACCCCATCTCTACTAAAAAATACAAAAAATTTAACCAGGCGTGGTGATGTGCACCTGAGTCCCAGCTACTTGGGAAGCTGAGGCAAGAGAATTGCTTGAACCCCGGAGGCAGAGGTTACAGTGAGCCAAGATTATGCCATTGCACTCCAGCCTGGGCAACAAAGCAAGACCCTGTCTCAAAAAAAAAAAAAAAAAAAAAAAAAGAAAGAAATTCAGGCTGGGCACAGTGGCTAACACCTGTAATCCCAGCACTTTGGCAGGCCAAGGCAGGTGGATCACCTGAGGTCAGGAGTTCAAGACCACCCTGGCAAACATGACAAAACTCTGTCTTTACGAAAAATACACACACACAGACACACACACACACAAATCTGGGCATGGTGGCTCAGCTACTCAGGAAGTTGAGTCAAGGAAATTACTTGAATCCGGGAGGTGGAGGTTGCAGTGAGCCAGGATCGTACCACTGCACTCCAGCCTGGATGACAGAGCAAGACTCAGTCTCTCTTTTTTAAAATTATTTATTTATTTATTTATTTTGTTTTTTCTTGCCTGTTCAGTGCAAAACAGAAAAGACTCAGTCTCAAAAAAAAAAAACATTCAGGCAAGAGACAGTAAATGAGAGCAGGTTATCTTTTTTTTTTTTTTGAGACGGAGTTTCACTCTTGTTACCCAGGCTGGAGTGCAATGGCGCGATCTCGGCTCACCGCAACCTCTGCCTCCTGGGTTCAAGCAATTCTCCTGCCTCAGCCTCCCGAGTAGCTGGGACTGCAGGCATGCGCCACCATGCCCAGCTAATTTTTTGTATTTTTAGTAGAGACGGGGTTTCATCTTGTTGACCAGGATGGTCTCGATCTCTTGACCTCGTGATCCACCCGCCTTGGCCTCCCAAAGTGCTGGGATTATAGGCGTGAGCTACCGTGCCCAGCCCTTTTTTTTTTTTTTTTTAAGACGGGGTTTCACCATGATGGCCAGGCTGGTCTTGAACTTCTGACCTCAGGTGATCCACCCACCTCAGCCTCCCAAAGTGCTAGGATTACAGGCGTGAGCCACCGCGCCCAGCCGAGAGCAGGTTATCTAAAATAAGTTTTCATGTTCGTGTTTAGCTAATGTGAGTAAGGTAATGCTGTCAAGATTAACAACCATTTACTAATGGTTGTTATACTACTGGTTATTATTAGCAGAATAAAAGCTCTGATTTTGCTGGGCGCGGTGGCTCAAGCCTGTAATCCCAGCACTTTGGGAGGCCGAGGCGGGTGGATCACGGTAAAGAGATCGAGACCATCCTGGTCAACATGGTGAAACCCCGTCTCTACTAAAAATACAAAAAATTAGCTGGGCATGGTGGCTTGTGCCTGTAATCCCAGCTACTCAGGAGGCTGAGGCAGGAGAATTGCCTGAACCCAGGAGGCGGAGGTTGCGGTGAGCCGAGATCGTGCCATTGCACTCCAGCCTGGGTAACAAGAGCGAAACTCTGTCTCAAAAAAAAAAAAAAAAAAAAAAAAAGTTCTGATTTAAAGGTAGTGATATACGTTATCCAGGAACTATTACAGGTCAGTTAGAAAAAAATAGGTCACTGGTAGTTACAGTACCAGGGACTAAATGTAAGATGTTACCAAACAGAAAATAGGGTGAATGATTTAGCAATATAGTTTTCTTTTTTGCTGTGGTTGAGGTCTTGAAACTGCATATGGCTTATGTATGTGGCTTATTAATGGCCTATCACTTTTCCTTTGCTAGCCTTAGAGAGACCATCTTGTCCTACCTCCTACGCCATGCAGAAATCTCCCTATGGCATCTCTGACATCAGTTCATCTGGTTTCTGCTTGAAAACTTCCAGAACAACGAGAGCACAGTGTTTCATACCTCAACCCAGTACATTTGTTAGCCAGTTCTGACTGTTAGAAAGCTTTTACTTGTTTAGAACCAAAACCTGCCTTTCTGCAGGTGCTGCCCACTGGTTCGAGACCTACCTGCCTTCCTGAGTAAGCTTCCTTCCATAGGATAGTCCATTAGCTATTTGAAGATCATGGGTTTTTCTTCCTCTTACATCACCTCCATGTACTTAAATCCCCCCTGTGACATTTTCTCCAGTCTCTCATCAGCCTAGTCACCTTTGATTATATGAATTCCAGTCTTCCAAAGTCCTTTTTTTTTTTTTTTTTGAGATGGCGTTTTGCTCTTGTTGCCTAGGCTGGAGTGCAAATGGTGTGATCTCTCACTGCAACCTCCGCCTCCCAGGTTCAAGTGATTCTCCTGCCTTAGGCTCCCGAGTAGCTGGGGTTACAGGCATGCACCACCATGTCTGGCTAATTTTGTATTTTTAGTAGAGACAGGGTTTCTTCATGTTGATCAGGCTGGTCTTGAACTCCTGATCTCACTCTGCCTGCCTCAGCCTCCCAAAGTGCTAGGATTACATGTGTGATTCACCATGCCTGACCCCAAAGTCCTTTAAAAATCTATAGTTGAGCACAGTCTCATGAGTGTGAGTCAACTGGCGTTGAATATAGTATGGCTCTTATCTCTTATTCAGGAACTGTACTACAGTTACTATGTACTTTATATTTATTATCAGCAACATCTTACTACTAGCTTGTAGTTGGTAGTTTTTACAGTAGTGCTTCTTAACTGCAGGCAGTTTTGCCCCCAGGAAATGTTTGGCCATGTCTTAGAAACATTTTTGGTTGTCACACTGTGGAGGTGGTACTGGAATCTAGTGGTTAGAGGTTAAAGACACTGTTAAATGTTTTACAGTGCACAGGACAGCCCCCTACAACAGAATTATCTGGCCCAAAATAGCAATAGTGCTAGGATTGAGAAACCCTGCTCTAGATTGTTTTCATGTATGCAGCTGTCAGATCTTATAAAAATGAAAACGGAGACCTGCATGTAAGCCTTATTAAAAATATCTCCCGGCGGCACGTGGTGGCTCATGCCTATAATCCCAACACTTTGGGAGGCCGAGGTGGATGGATCACCTGAGATCAGGAGTTCAAGACCAGCCTGGCCAACATGAGGAAACCCTGTCTCTACTAAAAATATGAAAAATTAGGCTGGTGTGGTGGCAGACGCCTGTAATCCCAGCTACTCTGGAGGCTGAGGCAGGAGACTCTCTGAACCTGGGAGTCTAAGGTTGCAATGAGCCAAGATTGCACCACTGTATTCCAGCATTGGCAACAAGAGCAAAACTCTGTCTCAAAAAATAAAAATATCTCCCTATGACATTTTATCTTGTTGGTTTCAGCTGATTTGAGTTTGTAGGGGATTTGTAAGTTTGTTCAGCTCAACAAACGTGAAGCAAGGTGCTGTTATGTTCTATGGACACTGCAGATGATTTGGTAGTCGATTTATAACACAGAAGCAGAAATTGTTTACACTAATAATCATAGCCCAAGCACAAAGTGGTAAATGTGAAGGAGAGGTACAGATATTACACTGTGAGCACAGACAAGCTCACCCTTAATTTTGGGATCAGGGAAGTCTTTGTGAAAAAGGTAGCATTTGAGCTGGTCTTAAAGAATAT